TAATTCTTGCTCTGATATCCAGTCAAATAGAGCAGCTAGCTTCTTCAAGTCGGCTAAAAACACGTTGACTGAAAACACATTCCGCGAATTGTTTGTAAGCCAAGAAACAATCCGGTGCAAAGGCAATCTTCAGGGCTCGTTTTATTTGCTCGACATCTAATTTTTGTTCAGAGTTTAACTGATGGTAAACAGCAAATGCTCCACCCGTCAACCTCAAAGGAAGAACATGTTCAACCTTTTTAATTCCACACAAACAAGTTCAGCCTTCTCAATCCATTCAGTAACTGCTTATCCGGTCATTGAACCATCAAACGCTGGTATCAACTTGACATCAAATGTCTTGTCTGTCATAGTGCCGAAATAGTTTATAAATGATCTGGGATTGCAAAAGAAATGTTTGTCGCAGATTATTTCCACTTTGCCGAGAATAAATCACTAAGTTCAGACTCGAACATCGCGGACAGAAAGAAAATGCCAAAAACTTGATTCGTAAGTACTATTTCACAAATCACAATGCACGCAACCAGTCAGAAAAATAACTCCCTCGGCAGGCAAAATCGCCGACTTTTTTCCTCCCAATTCGAGAACACCAACTGCTTTTATTGGCCGAACGTTTTCTTTTCCATTCATCGACAGCTGGGAGAGGATGTTCAGTAATTTGCATATCAACATACTTTATAGAGACTTCTGCGACGGACTTTTTTTTGGGGGGGTGGGTTAATTCAAATATTCCATTTTCAGCATGTCATGCTGAATATGTGCCCCTTTTGTTTGGTAAGTAATTTTCTTTTTCGCCAAATTTTGTCGCCATTTTCTTCGATATATGAAACTAAATAGTTGTCTACTTTTAACGTAGTAGGCTGCAATGAGAATCCAAAAGTATTTTAGTTTCCTTTATTACTGTCATTATGACTAAAATACACAAGGTAACTATGAATCACACACTAGTTTCATGTTTAAGGTTCAATAATTACTGAAGTTTAATATAATTCATTTAAACTAAAGCCATGTCTGCCATAAGGTCACAAACTAATGAAGAATTGCAACACAATGCATATGATTAAACAAGTATAGAAAATATAATATACAAATGACTAACAGTGGGTAATTAAATGATAAAATGGAAGAACTCATTAAACTCATTAAACATTTTGTCTTTCAAAAAGACTTCTCCAGATTCATAGTGGTTTTATCAATGGAGTTTTATACATCTTGGCAGATAGGGAGGAAATGCAGCAAATATTGGTTAAAATTTTACTTTGGGAAATACTGAAAATACAGGGATACATAGCTTTAAGTTTTTTAATGTAAGTTTTTTGTATCTGATGCATAGCCTAACCAAATTCATTCAGCTATCATGCTTTTTAAAAAATATCCCAAATTGTAGCATCAGTATTTCTCTTATAAAAGAAGATTTAACAAGTGTGAATTGTAAGATCTCTCCCACTTCCAAATAAGCATGCATGCTATTTTCTGTAAAAAGGAAAAAAAAATATGAAAACAATTGTCATTTCTAACTAAAACCTTTATCATTACCATATTTTCTTGTGCATAATACAACTTGAATATAAATATGACCCCTTGTTTCTGAAACTAAAAACAGAGAATAAATTCTATCCTTGACATTTAATTATGCTGATTCTCAAAAGAACAAATGTTGATGACATATCAAATACCTTTTGTAAACAATTGTTATCAACATCTGTCTACTTTATGATTTATTGTGCTGATTACATTTTCACAATCTTTGTTTCAAATAAGAGGTTTTTTAAGCTGAGTAAATATTTCTGAAACATGTACTTGTGTATACATTTCAGAAATGTTTACTACTTCCATTTTTGCCTATAATTTTTGTTGAAAATGTCTCATACATAAGAAAATATGGTATATATTAAGCATGTCCACTGTTTTCGCGGAAAAACAGCATAGCGTAAATGAAAAATGCCACAAACTTAAAGAAAATAAAGTATTATCGTCAAAATGCTTATGTTATTATTTAGAGAAAAGAAAAAAGGTATTTTTTAATTATTTTTTGAAATTTTTAATATTTTCTAACACGTTCGAAATTTTGGTTAAAGTCGTCTTTGTTTACGTCATCGCGCGACGTTTAAAATAAAATAGTTTTTTTTTGCGTTTTTTTACCGTTGAAAACATATTGATTTGGAAATTCTTGTAAAAATAAAATAATTGTCCAATCTTAATGAAATTTTCAGGACTTATTCACAAATCAATGAAATTATTTTTTGAAATATTTTTTTTAGAAAATTTTGGTAAAATTATATTTTTTAAAATATGTTACCCCACATTTACTTAATTTAATGAAATTTCGCCCAAAACCTTTTTGGTTCCTGATTTTTTTTTTTTTGTTAAAAGTAGGAGTCTTCCAAGATGGTAAATAACCTAATTTTCTTTCACAAATTTGAGCTACTTAGCTGAAAATCTGCTCTGAATTGAAAAATAATGAATCCAATAAAACTATGATATTACCTAATTAGAAAAGCTTTTAATTGCTTTTGTAAATAAGGACATTATTGTCTGAAGAAATAATTTTTTTCTGATGAATAATTAATTTTTACAAGAATTTTTTCGTTTTTTAAGAAATTTTAATTATAATAATTTATAATAGTTTTAAATCGTGTAAAGCTCTGTATTAGGAGGGTTCCTCGATATTATGTACTAATTAAGTAGAAAAAAAATTTACGAATCCAAAATTGCTAAGTTTAATAAATTTAGTTGCGCTACTTTTTTTAAAAATAATTTCTTATGTTGTATTTTTTTACTTAATACATTCCTTATTTCCATGTATGATATACAGAAATTGCCATTATTATAACAAGGTCATGTGATCTAAGGGTTTTGTCCCTTTACGTGGCCTTTTCAAAACATTTCGTTTGTTACTACAAGTTGTATTTTCCGTTCAAAAGTTTAAACTTTAAATTATTTTTTCTTTTTTTCATTTACTATTTCACTAAATAATTTTATTTTATGTATTGTATTGTGTGTCATATTCAAATATAATAATTTTTTAAAAACTCAGACTTAAAAAATTATGTCATTTATGGTCATCAGTAGTAGCTGTCATCGGCTTTTCGTCAATCAACCATTATCAATGAGATCGAACAGATGAACGGGACCGCTCGTTAATAATTGGTTGTATATTATATTTTTATGCTATAAGTAACAAAAGATTTCTTTGAAATCAGATTACTTTAACTTTAAATTTTTAATTTTACTAAAATAACGTGTCAGAATTTTTTTTTTTTTTTTTTTAATATTTTAAAATCGATAAATTTGTGTTTGTTTACAAATTTCTTAAAATTAAGAAAATGGCCGTTTTTAAGAAAATTTAAAAATTTGAAATTAAATTTGACAATCAAATGTATATAGTTTCTATCTGAAATACACCAGAATTGTTTAATTAATAGAAATCATAAATTTAGTTATTAAACTTTCAATTAAAGCTAAAATGAAATCTTCAAGAATGTTTTTTCATTATAAAAAATTCATTTTAAACTTAGGTATCGAAAATTTATGCTGAAATAGTGGAGGTACTTAGTATATATTTTTTCTTTTTTTTAAATTGGCATAGGCCCATATATATATGCTAAGCATTTCCTTCAATTTTGTAAACTAGTAGAGTCAATATCTAAATCCCTAACCCCAGTCCTGCATGACCCCAATGACTGGCAGATCAAGTCTGTACCCTTTGATATAGGATGATTGATGCACAATAAAAAAAATTTCCAATTTATATAAATGTAAAGAGAAAGACCCATTATTTTGGATCAAAGAATTTACAGTACAATGAAATATCCCCTTTTTTATTATCAATTTTAATGCTGCTGTAGGTTAGAGTATAGTGTCTTCATTCACTTCAAACACGAATAGGACTCCTCTCTGCAAGGTGTGAGGATCACCATTCAAAAGGAAACTTTAGATGAACAATTAAAATCTAAGATTTTTATTTAAAAAATTGTTTGGCCAATATGACAGTTGAATTAAACAGATGAGCCATAAGATACATTTAAGCAAAATGTGAATTTTACTTGCTCTGATTGTGATCTTGTTGCAGATTTGACAACCAAATATCTCAGAAGCAATTGGGCAGTGCCAAATTCATGCAACATTATCATAATCAAAATATGGCTAAAAACAACTTTAAATCCAAATATTAAAATCAGTCCTTAAATTAATTCACATTTCTAGTACATACATTTTGTATAACCATCAAAAAGATGCAATATTTGATTATAAATTTTATTTATGTAAATAATGTTAGCAAAACTTTCGTTTCCAAATACTGATTAAACAGGATTAATTTATACTCAGTAAATTTATCTTTCCCATAATAATAGTAACAAGATAAATCTGTTCTTTTATTATTTGTGTGTACTGTTTTTTTTTTCAAGTCATCCAATACATGCAATGTTCCACATGGAGGATCTCTATGTTGTCCTTGATTGCACACAATGTGATGTTGATTGTTACATATATTTTATTATTAGTTTTGACTTGCTTTCTTTTTAATTTAGTTTTAACACATTTTCTTTCTTTTTTTTTATCTGATCAATTCTTGGTTTTTAAATCAAACCACAGGATTCCAGAATATTGGATGAGATACTAATTGGCATCCCCTAACTTGAGAGCTTGTCTTTCCTAGGTGATACCTTAACCAATTAGGCTGCCAAAGTTGTCATATTAAGGCAATGTTCTCATCCTTCACCTTTCTGCCTTTATTTCTTCTTATTTATTCGATAGTTTCATGTTAATGACCTTGTAATGCCATACTAGCTTAAAAAATGTGATAAAAAGCAACAATATGAAGAATTAGTCAAAATTAACAATAAAATATGTATAATAATGAAAATACTTCAGCTTTGAATTTCAAAACAATTTAAGATTTGTGGTTTTTTTTGGAAGTTTCTTTGTTTTTATATCTAAATTATTACTTCTTTCTTTATGGAAAAAAAGTTATGATGAAGAAAGAACCCAAAAGAATATTATTGGTGGACACAGATATGAAGAAAGTTGTCTGGATAGCTGAGGTGTTCACAAAGCCAAAGGATTGGTGTCTCCCATGGAACCTCAATGCCTTGAGTTATAACCTGTACTTTGGACTTGCCTAGAAAAAGAAAAAATATAATTACTAAGTACAGTTATATTTACAGCATATGGAAGAGAGAAAAGTCTGTAAAAAATAAAACAAAACTCAAAAATCCCATCATACATACTTCTAATTTTGAAACAGAGTATGAAGTAATTAATATATTTTAATAATATATGGTGTTCCAATAACTTGGACCTATTTTAAGTTTAAGCATCTAATGAGTTTTTTTCTTTTTCTTTCAGATTTAACAACTTAAGTTTTTGGCAATTTCAACCATGGAAAGATTAACAATCAAACAAGGTATTAAAATTATCAAGGCCTATTATGAAAATGGACGTTCAAACAGAAATGCATTTCACACACTTCGCGACCTTTTTTTGGTCAACATAATCGACTAACCGAGAGTGCATTTCGAAAAATTATTCATAAATTCAAACAAAATGGTTCAGTGGCAGATGTGAAAACACCATTGTGTGCTTGTTTACACCATTCAGCTGAAAACAATGCTGCAGTGCACGAGAATGTGGCCAAAAATCCAGACCCCCCTCTATTTGTCATCGTGCGCAGGAATTGAACCTCTCCACAACAACATTACATTGAATTTTGACAAAAGATTTGTCTCTACACACTTACAAAATTCAATTGACACAAGAACTGAAACCGGCTGACCATCTGGAGCGCCATACATTTGTCAATTGGGTTCACAAGCAAAAACAAGCTGATGAAGATTTTTCACAAAAAATCCTCTTTAGTGATGAAAGTCAATTTTATCTTGGCGGATTTATTAATAAGAAGAATTGTTGCATTTGGGCAAAGGAAAATCCAAAGAAGATTGCTGAAAAGCCACTGCATCCACAAAAGGTCACTATTTGGTGTGCAGTTTTTGCTAGCGGAATCATTTATTTATAAATTTGAAAGTCCATTTTCATAATAGGCTTTGATAACTTTATCACATTTTTTGATTGTTAATCTTTCCATGGTTGAAATTGCCAAAGACTTGAGTTGTTAAATCTGAAAGAAAAAGTAAAACATCATTAGACGCTTAAACTTAATTCACATTTAAAATCAGTCCAAGTTATTGGAACACCCTATATAAGACTGAAAAAAAATTATTTACCATTTTAATTACTTGATAGCTCCTTAAAACTTTGTATCTTTTAGAATGGGTGTAAAGGACTTAATGTTCTTTATTAAAAAAAATGTCTTTCTGTGAAAAAAAAAAAAAAAAAAAACACACACAAACATTAACCATCAATAACCTGGCATCATTAGGATGTGTATAATGCCAGACAAGTGCTTTTGCTGGATTACAGATGGTTATAATAGAATACACTTAACCCAACTACTAACCACTTCATCTTACCTTTAAATATGCTGTAAATCTGTACATGTTGATTAATAAAGGAAAAATAAAGATTAAAGGAAAATCAAGTAAAGTTTTAATGAAATACAGTTAAAATAAAGGTTACAGGTAATTCTGTGGGCTTGAGAAAGTTCATTACCACTGCTTTGAGAAACCTGAAAATGCTCTCATAGAAATTAGAACCAGATTAGGCAGTGCTGGATTAATGTTAGTCAACCTGTATTCATTTTCTACTTTGCCGCTTTTCTCTGTCAAGCTCAACTACTTCAAGTCAAACATTTTTGCCGTGACAGGATTATGAAATAAAAAAAACAAAAAACTTCCATAACTAAATACTGGTTGCACAATTATATTCCAGCAATGTAAAGTTTTGCATTTGACATTATTTATTGCCACTGGAGGTCTTAATTTATACTCAGTAAGTTAACATATGTTAGTTATTGCAGACAATACATTTTCATTTTTAAGATATTCTAAGACATAAAAAGCTGACCTGAGAAATGATTATAGAAGCAATAAAAAGATCTTACCAGTCACCTAAAGTGCTTGGGATATTTTGCACATTCAGAATATAAAGCCATCAAAAATATTAACATGAAAACTTACTTTCTTCAGCATCAAGTTCTGGTAAGGTTTGTCGTATCAAATCGGCTAAAACTTGTACTGTCCCATTCTCATCAACTGGCTTGAACAGTTGTTGGTTGTATGAGCCGTCCGACTGAAGGTAAAAGGGAGAAGTCTTTAAAAAAAATTACAAAATGATTAAGAAATAACATTCTATACAATTCTCAATAAGTCTCAGTGCATGTTACAGAAATTGTGATTATGTAATGTGCTTCATAAAAATAAGATTACCAAAATACCAGTTGATCTTTGACCAAGATTATTGGATTGAAAGGTTACTAGAATAAGTAATAGAAGTCAACTTACCATGTAAGCTTTGTATGGAATGTACTTAAACTTTTCTTCTCCCGACTCCATTAATTTTCGATTGACTGACCAGAACTGATCAAATTTATCTGAGAAAAAAAAAATTGAACAAATAAACTGTTTAGAAAAGAATATGGTATTAATTTGCAATTGAATGAAAATTTAATAACAAATCTGAACTGATAATTAACATCTAATAGAAAATTAATATCAAAATGATAAATTTGCTGTAATAAAGATATTAGATCACTAGAACTGTCAATCTACCAAGGCTGATTTATTCTTTAAGCATTAATCATATCGGCATACCCCCTCCTTCCTTCAATGGTTGCCTCAAACCTTTTCTCTTTCCTTCATCGTCATTGCTACCCTTTGAGCAACAACCTAACACTTTCAACGTTAAGGAACATGACTGAGTGGGTGCTCATTCCAAAACAAAATGCTTTGACAGTTAGCATTTGCTGCCAGTCAAAGGACATGTGATTTATTGGATCCCCACCAAAAAGTATCCACGTGCAAGAAACGACCTGCAGGTATCGAGTTGGGAAGACGTGTTTTCTGTCTCTCCCTCTTCACCATACTCTTCAAATACCTAGACTTCAGTAATAGACTTTTTATAGTCAATTTCTTTGCCTGAAGCTACCTTTCATCATCCTTGACCAATCTTAGCCCAACTTTCCAACCTTACCTCCTGTCCAAAGAAATAAGCATTCAGCACAAACCCTCAGTATCAAACAGACCTTAGCTCCTGTCCAAGTAACAAGTCAGTCAGGAACCCACAAGTCTTCATACGTGGTATTTGTATCTTCTGGATCTTTCCCTTTGGTCTATACTTCATTCTAAATGACAAACGTTTTCTTGCAATTTATAAACTCGGTGATTCTATCTTGGTCAAACTCGTGTCAGAGTCTCATAACCAACCGGGTTAATTCTGTTTCTAAGTCTCAACCTTTGATTCTTCTTTTACCAAAAGAAAACATTCATAGACAAAGTTGCCTCACTTGTACCGACTATTCCAAAAAAAAAAAAATAAAATAAAAGGAGATTCTTACAATTAATCTTTTCCATGTTTTTTGGCTATTTCCTCTTCAAGAACATTTGGCACCAGCCATTACTATTTTTGGCACACAACAACGTTCGACCATCAACATCAACCTCACATTGTACAGATTTGCTGGACCACTACCCAGAAACCAGGAACGACACTGCATTTTTTCCTTTTTTTTTCATCCTGTCAATTTGTTGTTAAAAATAAACTTATGTTTTGTTATGCCTCTCATACCTCATTCGTGTTTGTCCATTCTCTACCATTGCTAACCTTGTCATGAACCATTGATATTCTAAAGGAATATCAAATACACTTATATGTGGGAGTCTGGTGGTCTGACACAAGGCCATACATAAAAAACCTCACTAGGCAACCAGGCTTCCCCTATAATCAATTCCTTTTATGTCAGTATTATGTCTAAGACTTACTGAGAGTTTTGAAATGAATCACTTGGAAATGGAAAAATATTTAATAAAAAAATTTCTTTGTTCTAAGTCTTCTTACTCTGGAAAAGAATCTGATAGTAATTCAAGATAATTTGTAGAGGGTGAAGATGACAGTGAAGACAACAGTGGAAGTGATGATTGTCCTGAAGTAAGTTAACACAATGTCCCATAAAATATTTCTTTCTCTTGTATCCTTTCTTGGATAATGAACCATATAGCAATTCAAGACAATTGTAAATGGTTTGGTTTGGTTTGTTTTACAACTGCAATGGATTATCAAATGCCAACAAAATTTTTATTGCTGGTAATGTTTTTTTTTTTCAAAAATCTATTGCAGCTAGTATTTTTTCCAAAAATATATTGCTGGTAATATTTTGTATGTAATAATTTTTCCTTCAAAAAAGCCTTGCTGGCAATAACTCTTTCTTCAAAACTATATTGCTGGCAATAATTTTTCCTTCAAAACTATATTGCTGGCAATAATTTTTCCTTCAAAACTATATTGCTGGCAATAATTTTTCCTTCAAAACTATATTGCTGGCAATAATTTTTCCTTCAAAACTATATTGCTGCCAATAATTTTTCCTTCAAAACTATATTGCTGCCAATAATTTTTCTTCAACAATGTATTCCTGTTAATTTTCCTTCATAAAAGTATTGCTGGTAAAAAATTTTTCTCGAAAATGTATTTCTGGTAATAATTTTTCCCTCAAAAATGTATTGCTGGTAATAATTTTTCCCTCAATTAATACCTATTTTTACACCTCCACAGTAATTTTGGCCCCTGTTTAGTGGGTAGACTATTTGCCCATATTTGGGACCCTAATAGGTGCACCCACCATGGGTCAGGGTGGACCTGGGAACACCAGCAATTAAGAGGTGGTTCCATGCTCCACAAAACCCCTTGATCAGAGACCTTGCTGTCAGATGTAGTTTATGTCTTACCCAGGATGCGGATGTAGTTTATCATCGTACCCAGGATAAACAATTGTAAATGGTAATGAAGGCAATGTAAGTAATGATTGTGCTGGAACAGCAGACAAGATATTCTGCACACAAAAATTTTGCAGTTCCAAGTGATTAACCAGCAATTCAATACTTTTTTTTTCCAGAACCTTATTTAATGACATGCAAAGTGATGTTTGTTATTGCCTGCAGCTTTTGTTTAGACAGAAAGAATTTCATTGTACATTTATTTTTTCAACATTATCTTCCTGATTCTTGATAACATTAAAAACAACAGTCAGAATATCTTCTTTAGGTATTCTCATGAACTTTTTGACAAAGATTTTTTTTTTTTTTTAAATATTTACATTCTGACAAATATCCTCATTTTTGATATCTCAATGCTTTGGGTGATGTTCCCTCTGACCTTCTTTCAATATGGATAAACTTCAGAGAATTTCAAACTGAACCCTTTATTTAAATCTACAGGGAAAATAGTTTATGGAATTAAAAGGTGAACCATAACTGAGCTGTATTAAAAAGAACAAGATGAGATAACCCTAAGTATGAATAGTGGAAGGAGAACAATCTACCCCCATAGATTAAATAAAGGCTTCCATTCAAAATTCCTTTATGGCTATCTAGATCTACAGACACCTGAAGAAGGCCAGAGGGCACAACGGCTGAAACATTATGATAATAACAAAGACAAGGACAGTAGTCCAAATGTAAATGACTTTTCATTCTATAAATTCAGATGGGATTTTTGAAAAGAATATTCAATAGCAACAATTTAACTTCAAAGTAATCCTCACACTACAGTCTCTTGCCTTGAAGTAGTCAAGAGCAAATTTTGCATTCCATTAACCCTTTTAGTCTTATGTCCCTAGAAATTATTTGTTAACAATCCTAATTGTTAATTTATTTAAATAATCCCATAATACTGTTCAGACATTTCCTCTCACCACTAAAAAACTAGTTTAAAAATATATTGGCTCTAACAAGTAGTAGTTATTTAAAGTCTTCAGGAATTTACTAATGTAAAAAAAAAAAGAAAAAAAAAGAAAAAAAGAAAGAAAGTTTGTTCAAAAGTCATATTGAAATGGTTAATCATAAAAAGATTTTTTTTAAATTACCATTTAACAATCCCAGTCATAATAGTTTTTGGCCTTTCTTTTGCATTCTATTAACCCTTTTGGTCCTTATAGGATACAAATCTCAAGAAATTATTTGTTAATGATCTTAATTGTTGTGGTAAGCTATAACTAGCTAGAAGCATTCACTACTATTTTTCTAGTAGTTTAATCTTCAATGTTAGGACTAGTTTAGCCACCAGCTGTATCAACTGCTATTTATATAGTAGAGATTTGCATATGAATACAACAATTGTTAATTAAAATAATCCCACTAATGCATTACATAATACTATCCAGACATTTTTCCTCACCCCTAAAAAAAATAAAAAAATAAAAACTATTTAAAAATACATTGAATTTAAAGAGTGCTCGTTATTTAAGATCTTGTGAATTCATTAATAAAAAAAAAAAAGTTTGTAAAAAAGTCAGAAAAAAAAGTAAAAGGTTAATCATAAAAATAAGAAAATTACCATTTAACAATCCCAGCCATAATTGTTTGTGGTCTTTCTTTTGCATTCCGTTAATCACCAAACTACGGTGCTTCAATGCATCTGCCTCCTTCACCATTGACATAAAATGTGACTCCACCACTTCTTTGTTTGGACAATGAAGCAACTCTTCTTCTGGAAAGTTCTGAAACAAATGTGAATTTGGTAATATAGTAATTACGAGTTCAATTCCTTGACCAGGCAGTGTGTACTTTAACTCTTTGGAAATGGGGCGAGCAATAACTGAACAATATTAAAAATAAGATGGAACGAAAACGGTTTACCTCCATAGATTAAATAAAGGGTTTAGTTCATGTAGGTTAAGCAAATTGATATACACCTGATGATGGCCAGATGGCACAACAACCAAACCACAGAGATGACAATAGTTCAAATGTAAATAGTGTAAATGATAACTCTTCATCTTAGAAATTCAAATGAAAATGTGACCAACTTTGTATTTCTACCAAAGCATTTTTCTATGCCTATCTCTATTTACCTACCTACATACAAGATCTCTTTAAAAAGAACCCAGCCCTAAAAATAAAAATAGCCTACATAAGAAAATGGTGCCTTAATCATGTACAAAATATTCCTCTTGGTACCTTACATTTGTCCCAGTATTTTCACAACAGTCTGCAATGTTCTTTTTCAGGTTAACAATCAGCTCCATCTATGTATTCTCCTTAATCTTATCCAAAGTCTGAAATTTCCTTTCTTTCAACAGTAACAGGCAGAAGTTACAGAGAACTAAATCTCAACTATAGAGTAAGGTTAACATATCTGAATTAGGGCTCAAAACCGATTTTAAATAACCAGTTTTCATATGATGATCACTAAAACTGAATCTAATTTGCCAAAACCGATTTTAGTGTTTGTAGTTTCCACTTTCCATGAAACATTTCTCTATTTTTTCCTTTGAAGAAATATCATTGTAACTGCAGTCAGTCAGCCTTTAGCTCGCTGAGTGCTGTCTGTTTCATTGAAATAGATCACAACATATCAATTCTCAACTTCCTGATCAGCACCTTGTCATTTCCTTCCCTAACCATTCGCCAACTCCTAGAATTTGAAGGTTACAGACTTTATTCATAGCAGGCACCAAGGAAACGTTGTTAGTGTTAAGTCAGGTGATCTTTCCCCATTGAGTATACATAATAACCAGTTTCAGATTTATTTCAAGGAAGCAACACTAACTAGATTTTCTCTCTATTTTACAATAGGTTTTAAAGTGTGATAAGTTTTATAGTTTTCCTTTTAATTATCATCAGCCCTAACATGATAAAAAGAAAATCAACTGTGTGGAATTTTTTCATTTGGAAAAACAAAGATGAAGCTCAATGCAGTAAGTGTGAGAAGACCATGAAATCTTCTGGAGAATCTACCACATCTCTGATTTTGTATTTGAAAAAAATTCATCTAATTGACATAAATCAAGATGCAAACCAGACTCTTGCAAAAATGGCAAGAACAATGGAAGACTTTTTAACAAAGAAATCTATGGAAGAAGAGATTTCAAAGTTAGCTGCCATAGATAAATTTTCTTTCAATTCAATCACCAAAAGCAATTTTATACAGACAAATTTTCATGAGGGACAAATATAATTACTGCCAACATCTGCAAATGGAGTCAGGAATATGGTAATGAATTACTACATAACCAAGAAAGAAGAACTTATTCATTATTTTGATTCTAGGGACTTTTGTGCTGAGGATTCACTACTCATTGACATTGGATGAATACACATCAATTCAAAATAAGCAATATATAAACATAAATGTTCATGTGGAAGACAACCATTGGACAACTCTTAATCTCAGACATTAAAAAAATTCACCAATTAAAATCTCTTGTATTATGTTAATATTCTACCTTGAAATAATAAGAAAAAACATTGATAAAAATACCAACGTTTTAGTGCAAAATAATAAAAAGTAAAAAAATTGCTTTAAGCATTCATCATATTAAGTTGATTGTTCATAGGATGTGAACACATTTAGTAAAAGAGTTTTGAAATAGGTTTTTATGTACAAAAAACATGTCACTTTGTTAGATTAACCTGTTTTGTTTATTTCAGAAATTGGGGTCAACCTATGCAAAAAAGTGACCCAATGATTTTTGGTACAAAAATCAAAGGTTGCCCAATGCACAAAATTAATTTATAAAAAAAAAAAAAAATAAAAATAAAAATGACCACAGATTTGATACAGAATTGACAAAACTAGATAGTTTTCATAAAATTTATATTATTAAAAAGAATTGAAGAAAAATCTGATAAAAATATATTCTTACATTATCCAGAAATAGAGATTAAAAAAATATTCATTAATTTTTTTTCCTAATCTACATGCAAATTTCTAAAAAAAAAAAAAAAAAAAAAAAAATCAATGAATAAATGGATTTGAATAAAATTTATTTATTCACTAAATACTGAAGTCATTCATAAAAGAGGCATGTTGCTACAATAAAAAAAAAAAAAAAAAAAAATCTTTTTCTTGTTTTTCTTTTTTTGAACATAAGAAAACACTCAACATATTTAAGTTTATATCTTAATATTTATCCAAACTTAAAAAGGTGCTAATATTGGGTGTGTGGTTTTAGAGGTTTTCTTCAAACATGGATTCTTCTTATTGCAAGGATGTGAGAGAGATTGGCATTTGTAACTTGCACAAGATGCAAGTTACAAATTGGGAATTTCAAAATCAAATAAGTACAGAAGATTAAATAGCGACCATAAGTATGTACGCAACGACACATGGATGTGCATATATGCCCAGTCCCACACTGTTCACACGTTTGTTTGTGTGAGCTCCAGTGAGTGAGCGTGCGCGTGTCTGCGTATGTCAATGAGTGTACGTGCGTGTATGTATATTTGCATAAGCATGAGTGGCATTCTGACGACAATTTTCCGCCCCCACTTCCATAAAAACGCCGATATATGCAACCATATATAAATCCAAAATTTAAAAAATTAATCAGGTTGTCTGACAATCGCAAATAATGTGAAATCCAGGGTCTCAAACTCACATCAATCCAACTATATATATATATATATATATATATGAAGCTATTCAATAATTTATCTAACCTGAAAATGTATTGTGAGTTTCCAAGGGAGACTTTCTTCACTTCCGTACAAGTCAAACAGCACTCCTACAGGATAATGCCTGAAATACACAAGCTTGTTCATTAGTTATAAACACAGATTTAATGAAGTTACAAAATGATTAGATATATTTAATTGAAAAGATTGAAATTTACTTTTAATTTGTATTTATTAAATGTGAAGACAGTGTTAAATAAAAAAACAATTTACAACTGTTTAATAATTTCCTGTCTTTCAAACAAGTGGGGAAATTCCAAGATAGGAGTGGGGACATGTAATTAGAATTATAACAAATAAAATATTTACTCTGAATCCAAAAATGGAAAAGAATGTTAAATTACCATTTCAAAGGCTGTCCATCAAATTCTAGCCAGAATTCGCCTGGTTTTTCGGTGTCAAGAAATTTTTGGAAGTATTTCTGGACTTTGTCTGTTACCAAGGGGAAATAACTAAGCCGAGGTACCAGCAACTGCAAAAGAGAAAGCAAGCAGCAAGGAATGCAATTAAACAAAATTTCAAAGAGATATAAAATTTATTATTAAATGGCAAAATGTAAAGTTAAATTCAAAATCAGTTTAAACATTGAAAATATCAATGGCAAGTCAGCAAAACATAAACCCTAAATATCCATATATTATTCCTTTGTCGTTCAAAAACAAATATTTTATTGAATTTTATGTTCAGTTACTTCCTCTTCATTTCTGCATAATATTCAAAAGAACCTAAAAGTTTCATAAAAAGTAAAAAAAAATTGCTGACATAAACTGATGTCTAGCAGAAATAATTTATAAATTTAGCCAATAGCAAATAAAGTGACAAACATCAGAGACATTGAATCCAAAGTTAAAATATAATAGAAATTGAAATATTGTTATTCAATCAATGATTTCTTCAATCCCACCCACCTCCTCTGCAACACGGTGTGTATTTGATATGGCACAATTATTTTATACCATGTTTATTAAACCCATAAAAATTCCCATGAGAATATTTATTTGAACCATCAAAGAAAAAAAAATTCCCATCAGTATTATTACTGAATGAGAAAAAAATTATTAAGGACTAGCAGCATGGCCCGGCGTTGCTCGTGCTTGATTCAAAAACCGTACGACTCATACAGCAATTAATATCACTTGACTTAAAATATTTTTGCCCTTCCTTGCCTTTAAAGGAGTGCCCTTTGCCATGCTGATGTTGCTACATGCCTTAGTTCTTGCCTATCTCACACTGCCAATTTTTTCTAAGCTTAACATTAAATCTGTTACGAAAAAAGAACTAAACAAAATGAACACAAAATGATCAGCTTTAAAAAAGGACTCGTAACTGGAAAAACCAAATGAAAAAAGAATGTTAACAACAAATACATTTTCACACCCAACCCAGTTCTGCAGAATCAGAATCAACATTGAGTTTAAGCAAGCGAATGAGCCGATTGGAGTAAAGTGCCATGCAGATTTAAATTTTCCCCATTTGTGACGAATGCAGCTATCGATTTTTTTTTGCATGCTAGCATGCTAGTTAACATTCGTGTCAGTCAGCTGTTGGCTCTCACAATGGCCAATAGAATCTTCCTGCCTATTTGTGGCAGCCAGCTATAGGCTCTCACTCTGGCCAGTAGAAAATGGCCGCAAACTACATGAAAACTGCCGTAGAAGCATGAAAAAAATCTATTATTTCCACTATCGATGGGAGTTGGGAAATGCAAAGTCAGTCTTGGCCTTCCCGCTAACTTGGAGCATGTGCATGTAAATTTTGGTGCAAATCCGTCGAAAATTGCGGCCGTACATTCGTTACACACACACACACACAGCCTTTTATAGATAGAGATGAATAGGAATTAAGACAACAAAAGATAATGATGGACTGGGAAATAAGCTGGAAGAGAAGTGTGAGAGAAGCAACTAATAGCATAAAACTTAGTTACATCTCGCCATTTCAACTGTAAAATGATGAGATCTAGCTGTTAATCTAGTATAGAGCTTAAATTCATAAAGTTGAGATACCAGAGAGGAAACTAATATTTATTTTGTTTTACTTGCATTATTTACTGTTATCCTTATCCTGAAGGACATTAGTAGTGTTTTTTGGATCCTTTTATATTCACTATCAAATGGTTTTTAACATTTGGTTATGATAGACGGTTTGTACCACTTTTTATAATTTAGTATTTAATTTTTAAGAATAGAAATTCTCCAGTCTTATGTTATGTCGCACTACTGTTCTCATCTTGGTTGATATAGATGATGACCAGATAAAAACAATAGTTCAAAATAATACAAGATTACTGACAATTATTCATCTAAAAAAATAGAATACTAAAACTAATATTTTTATGAAGATTTATAAAAAAGAAAATAAAAAGTAACTTAAGGACCACGAAAATCACTATACATAAGTTGACAAATGCACCATCCAAAATAATGTTTTTAAAAAACAGCAATGAAGAAAACAGTTTATTTCAGAAAAAAAAAAAAAAAATTTTAAACTGCTTTTAATAATAATTTAATTAATAATTGACAGAGAGACATGGTAACCTGTGGTTGTTAAGATGCAAAAAAATACTCACATAATAATAATAGGGATCAGGTTGCTCATTAACAATTTCATCTGGAGACAAGCTGAAAGCAACTGGGATGCGCCCTTCCCAGACTTCTCGAAGAATCTCTCTATCCTCAGCCATATCACACAGTGGCCATTATATACTCAAACGAGTATGAAATTTGATGACCTTAACTAAACCAAATCTGAAAAATAAATAAAAGATACAATAAAAAGAAATTATAGTGCTTAACTTGTAAGATTCTGAGAAAAGCATTTTCACCATTATAAATATTGTGACTGATTTTTTTGTCTATTTTTGCTGCCTTTTTATCACAATTTTTTAAGTTGATCCATTCTTCTTCAGCTGTTTAACAGCTGGAAAAATGATCGATTCCCACCCCTACAAAAAATGTTGCATCATGGGAGCAAATAAAGGATCAAATGAGTAAAAGAAAGAACTTTAGAACCTATATGAAATTATGTAGAATCTAATAAGCTTTCTCAATTCAACTAAAAAACTATGGCAGAAACACAAAATTAATAAGAAAAAAAAAAAAAACGTAATGTGTGGCAATTGCTTAATTATTAGAAATATTCATTTTAAATATGATTTAATTTTTTTTCTTACTCGGTTACTAAACAGGTTGTTGATTTTTTTTTAAAACGGAAAATAACTGAGTTGAAAATAACTCACTAAGATTGTACTAGACGATCTTAAAAGGAAGAAGAAGGAAAGAAAAAGAAAAAAAAAAAAAAAAGAAGAAGAAAAAAGAGTTGTATGATGCATGACCCAATTGAGGGGTTTGCAAGAGATAGGAGTCAGAAAGAGATTTAGGTCAGCGGCCAAAAAAAGTCTGAAATAAGAATAGAATTATAAATTTTTTTAAGAAAATAAAGGAAAAAGACATGATATCAAACGGAGCAAATAAGTGATATTTGATGGAATGCTTTAAAATATCGGTCAAAGCACCTAGATCTACTTTTGCATGGAAAGACACCTTATCAATTTGATAAAAGAAATTTTTCAGGAACAATGAAACAATCTTAATCAGAGAAAAAGTAAATTGAGGGAAGCTTTGAGATGACTGTGGAAAGCATATAATCCTGACCTGTTAAGAATTGGACACCCACATGAATAAAGTGGAGACATTTTCAAAGTAGATAATTAAGATTTTTCATAAAAATATCGACTATCCAGGAAAAACAAAGAGGTAAAAAAGGGACAGTTGCTTTTGGCTCACAATAGGGGCGCCAAGAAGGCGGAAAAGATCCTTCTAAAGTCAAACTAATTAGCCAAATTTGTTTGACAAAGTCCAAGTCCAAATGTTTTTTCTATTTTTGTTTTTTTTTAAACAAGAACGATTTAACCACGCCCACAAAGAAATAAGAAATTAGAAAGGATGTTCGATTTTGGTTCACGTGATTTTATGGAAGAGAAATATTCTAAGAAATGCTCGATTTTATCAGGAACGATTGGTCAAGACTCAAAGAGAAAAGCTCAAATAGAACCATTTTAACAGCCTGAATAATGATAAGAGAAATGGATTTTTAGTAATGGAGAAGACAGAATTAATGCATTTTGGAATTATCGAGAAAACCCTGACGACATTTTACAGACCCAAATGTTGCTTTTATAATATAAGCAGGACCCAGATAGTAGATGAGAAATTTTAGTTGGAGTTGAGAGTTTTTGCTGAACCATTTTTCAGGATAGAGCCTGAACGCAGATTCAAACAGAAATCCTCAGACAAGAGATTTCCAGCCCAAGTCAAGAAATTCCAAAAATCCAGCCTAAGTCCACAGAAGAAGCAAATCAAGACAAGAGAACTTCCAGCCTAAGTAAATGAACTTTGAATGAAAAAAAAAGAGTAGGCACTCTTTTAGGTTGTGTGATAGAACCTTGGTGCCATAGTCCACAGAGGCGGTCGGGAAATGAGAAACAATTTTGTTTTTATGTAGCGGAAATTAAGATATAAAGGGAATTTTTTTCATCAGCAATAATTTAATTTGTGTTTTGCCAATTCACTGATTTTGTATTCAAAAGATAAACACAACGTGGGTTTTACAGACCGGAGATCGTATAGTTGCTTTATTGACCAGGTTTTAAGCATCCAAAGTCTGAAAGGCGGAGGCTATCATCTGACCAAGGGGGTGGAGCGGCACGCTTGGACCCAGGAGGAGCGACCAGGAGGAGCGAAAAAAAAGGATATATTGTACAAAAGTTAATGAAAGAAAATGCATCAAATGTAGGTTTCAAATTGCTTATTTCTTTTATAAACTATATTTTCAATTGTTTTTATTAGAAGTTTTAAATATAATTTCAAAAAGATATTTAAATAAAATGCTGAATGTTGTTTCCTATTGTTCATTTTATGGTTATTAAATTATATAAGTAAATTCTCTACCTTTATATCAATTTCAGATTTGCAGGTCTAGTTTGTGGTTTCAAAGAGAGAACCTTAGAATTCTGAAAATAAACTTGGGATATCCAATAAGCTTTGCAAAGATGATTTTATATTTTACCTACTCTGCCTTTAACTAAAATTTCCAATAAACCTTCAAGATCAGAATCTTTAAAAGGGCTGAAAATTAGCGTAAAAAATCTGTAATCCAAGATGCATGAAAAAAAAAAAAAAAAAAGGAAGACTTTTACTAACAGTGAATGTTTTGTTTTTATGGCTTTTTTTAAACACAACTTAAAAGTGTTTTGCAAGATTTTCAATAGATGTGATATTTATCAAGTATAATTTTATATTCTCTACAACTAATACATGAGATTTTATAGTTTTTGGTTATATTTTTCCTAGAAGAAAGTCTGACATTTGTGAGGAGAAATTTAAGTTTTATCTTGTTGATTTTTAAAACTTTTGTAGCAACTCAAAAAATATAATAATAATATCTCAACACAACAACATTACCAGTTTTGCTATTGGAGTTTTGGGAATGATATCAGAATGAGCAAATAAGTATGTGAAATAAATTCCTAGATGCTTTAAAATACATAGATTGCAAAAAAATTATACTCATGGATACTTCTCACATAATGCAGAGATTTCTCTCTATGCAGTGAATGAGCACAATTACATAATTGTGTCTTGCTCATTACATGGCAACTTATGTGTTTGTATATGATACAAAATCTTGAAGTTTCAGTTTGAGTCTTGGGGACAACTCATACTATACAAAGCAAAAGGCAAGTACAATAGTTTTTCACAACAAAACTAATCTAAGAAACAAAACTAGAAGCTTTGAGATGCGACTTCAAATGATTATTTGCAAGAAAGCAGTAGCAGCCAAAGTGTCAAATCAAAAGCAAAATGAAAGAATGGTTATCTACAAACTGATCAGGAAAAAAAAAAAAAAAAAACAACAACTACATGTACTGATGAGACCAATACACAATACTGTTTTTTTTTTTTTTTTACATTTTCAATTTCAACTGAGACTCTTCTTCATAATTAAAAGAATATTTTCATAAAAAATATCCGAATTTACTGATTTTGCCAGGCAAAAAGAACATTAAGTTTAAGATTCAGGATTGTCCCACAAGACAATAGCTTCATGGATTAAAGTGTTTCTGTGAATTTGTTGGTATAATAAGTTCAATCTATGGCCAGATAGTAAAGTGTCAGAGGAAACAGCAAAGCAATAACTGTGAAGCTCTAAAAGAAATAAGATGCAATATCTTTAGATATTGGACAGCAGAACATGAACAATCTACCCTCAGTTCAGTTTGAAATTCCCTGAAAAGGCAACTGAAGATACAACAGCCAAATTAATTATGATGACAACAACAAAAATGAGGATATAAGTCCAAATGTAGATAATAACTCATCTCAGAAATTCAAATATAAAATTTAGTGAAATATGAAAAAAATTAATTAAATTTTGCTTCAGTTAAATAAAGGAAGGTTCCTAACCACCAGCCATCATTTGCTTTCAGGCCACAAAGAAATAATCAACTTGTTTAAAATTATATAATAGATATCGGACTTTAATTTAAAAATATTTAAATATTCAATATTCACCAACTCAATACTATCTATCATAACTGTACATTTTACAATTAATGTACATCTTTATTTATTTGTAATAATTTTCAACTAATATTCTAATCCTGACTAATTTTCAGATTTTAAAGAATTTCAGTACAATAAACCAAAAGCAAATGTCACTGAATAATTACTTTGAAAAGAGAGAAAGACCCATCAAGAAAGAAAGCTGCATTTAAAAGAAAATACCAAGAGTCCTCCATAAAATAGGAGTTCATCACAACAGTTGATTCACATACTCCACACAACTGCTCTGTATAACATGTGGTGACCGACTAGCTATGACATCTTCAAAATTACTTTGCCACATAGAAAGCAAGCACCCTGCATTAAAATACAAGCCTCTGGAAATTTTTAAAAGAAAGAAAATGTGAACATGAAGTACTACAGAATCAATTACTGAAGACCACCACTTCAACAAATGTGTCTCTGCTGAAAGCATCATTCTTAGTAGCTGACCACTATTGGTAAAGAGTTGATTTTTCCTGCTACTAAGGACATTTGCAGTGAACTTTTTGGAGAGGAAGCAGCTAAAATGGTAGCAAATATTCTTTCAGCTAGCAAGGTGAATTAATGAAGTAGTAGATGGTGAGGAACAGTTGTTAGAGAGGATTAATGAGTTGCTGTGGTACACAATTCAGGTAAACGAATCTACTGGTGTTGACAAGACAATATTGCTTGTTTTTGTGTGATATATTTTTCAGGAAAATGTGCACAAGGATTTGTTACATGCATTGTTTTTGCCTAACACCACAGCTGCAGAACTATTCAAATCCTTGAATAATTATATATTGGGAAGACTTAATTGGTCATTTTATATCAATGTATGCATGGACAGAATGGCTGCAATAACTGGATGGCTTTCTGATCTTACAACACAGATCAAGGAAGTTGTTTCTGAATGTGAGTCCACACACTGTGTCATTCATAGAGAAATGCTGGCAAGCCAAAAAATGTTACCTGAGCTTAACAGAGTTTTGCAAGATGTGATAAACTTTATTAACACTAAAGTACATGTTTTTAACTCACATCTGTTTGAGCAGCTTTGAGAAGAGATGGATGCAGAACATAGAAGTCTTCTCATGTACACAGAAGTGAAATGGCTTTCTAAAGGCAGTTGTGAGTTCTTGAGTTAAGAGAGACACTTTAGAGATTTCTTTCAGAAAAGCCATCATCACTGGCAGTGCATTCAGTAATGACAAACAGATTGCAATACTTGCATATTTAACCTGCTCAACAAACTAAATCTCACACTTCAGGGGAAAAATTATCACAGTTTTCAAGTCAGCAGATAAGATTGTTGCATTCAAAGCCAAACTGGAATTATGGAAATGGCAAATGAACACTGAAATTTTGACATGTTTCACACATTGGCTGGGATTATGGAAAGGACTGAACCCAGGCCTTTATTCACCAAGCTGGTGCATGATCACCTGTCCCAGCTTTCAAAAGAGTTTGAGCATTACTTTCCAAACCAGAAAAAACACCCAAAATGGGGGAAGTAATGTATCCGCAATCTATATAGAAGATCAGCTGCAAATTTTAGTGGCCTTAAAAATGTACTTGAGACAATTTCAAACCTCCTTGCATTCTGGGTCAAAGACAAGACAGAATATTTTGACATCACCACAAAAACACTGAAAGTTCTGCTTCCTTTTCAAACATCATATCTTTGTGAAGTGGGTTTTTTTGCAGTGACAATAACCAAAACAAAACTATGAAATAGACAAGACATAAGGAACACACGTGTGTCATTAATTCCGACCACTCCTAGCAGAGAAAGAAGTTCAGAGCTCCGACTGATTCTACATTATGGTGAGTTGATATTGATGTAATAATAGTGTAGGGATTGATTCCGGGATACTAAACAAGCTAGTGTGTGGTTGGGCTGGAGCCAAGACATGTGAGTGAAAAGATTATACACATTTTCTTTTCTAAATTGCTCTTTTTATTATTGCCCTCTTTATCAAAATGCACTTAAATTACACATATTTGCCACTATTGGTCTGTGGAAAAAATTGTCCAGCGTAAAGCCAGTCGGTGACATAAAACAAGCTTTAAGACATTCAATGATTAAATTCAATCTTAAATTAGATTGTTCTAGAGTAAATGAAAATTTCCCTTAAATTTTGACATGAAATATGGTTATTTTTTTTATTTTCTAGCAACAATATTTTAAAATTTGTTTAATTTGTAATGTGAAAAACTAGAGAATTTTTCCCCCGTTTTCTTTTCTTAAAATAAATTATTTTGCATAATTAATTGCAGAATATATTTTTTTTTTTTTTTTGCAATGGGGCTTTTGTAATTTTTTTAAGAAAAAAGTACTTGATTATTTTGTTTGACGATTAAATGTCGTCTTCCTCAAGTTTGGAGCCTTTTTTTCATCGAGGTATGCTACTTTTTAGTGAAAAAGTGGCGGTACCCAGAGAACATGGGACCACGTTAAAGTCGATACATTCTTAGGCCTCCCTTATGTTTTCTTGAATTTATGAGATTTTACTTTTCATTTTCCATGTCTTTTTTTTTTTTTAGACTATTCCGAATTTCCCAATATTGAGTAAAATTCACTTAGCTTTCATTTTATTCTTTTTCTTCTTTTCATCCCCCCAGGTAAACAAAAAAGATCAAAGGATACTGTACACAACACAACAGGGAAACTGAAGAATCAAACGATTGAAATTTGAAACTTTGTGTTAAGATAGGTACCTCCACGAAATCGCTAAAAAAAAAAAAAAAGCATAGCTTGATGAAAAAGACGCCAACCTTGCTAAAAACAAAATTTTATCATCTAAATGCTTATGTTATTATTAAGAGGAAAGGCCAAAGATTTTTTTAATTGTTTTTAAAATTTTTTCCTTCTTTTTAGAACATTCTAAATTTTGATTAAAAAAACCTTGTTTCTCTTGTATCACCGGAACTAGTAAAATAACAGACAATTTTTAGCACGTTTTTTTTGGTATGACACACATTAATTTTGAAAATCTTGCAAAAATAAAAATAATTGTCGGATGTTAATGAAACTTTCAGGAACTATTCACAGATGATCGAAATTATTATAAATATGTTTTTTTTATTAAAGTCATGGCAAAAATATTTTTTTATATTTATTACCCACCCCCCAACTAATTTTATGAAAACACTAGAAATTCAATCACATCGGGTTTAGTGATTTCAATAGTTAAAAGCACAAGGATTTGAGGAATGCAAATCATGTTTTTTTTTTGTTTTTAATTGGACCCCCCTACCTGAAAATCAGCTCTGAATTGTAACATACAAAACACAATAAAACAAAGATATTATTTAATTTCAAATGCTTTTATTTGTTTTAGTTGTTTTTATGAATATGGACAATATTTTCTGAAAGCAAAAAAATTTTTTTTCCGATGAAAAATGAATTTTAATACAATTATTTGTTATTTCTTAATTATAATAGATTTTTAAATTTAAGTTGTTAAAATATTATAAAATTAGCTAAAAGTTTCATCATCGGGTTTCCTAAGTCTCCTTATGAAATAGATCTTTTTTTTTAGTACGTTGTAAATTGTATCATTTTGACTAATCAGAAGATCCGCGGTAATTAAGAAATGTAATTTTGTGTTTATAATCGGGCTATAATTATAAAGTACGGAAGACCAACCAGAATACAATTAAGTTGCGTTGAGTTAAGCATTGTTCTCTGCTGTTAAGGCCTTTACTTTTGCAAAACACATGAGAAGTTAATTTGATTTTTCAATTTCAACTGAGAAGGGTACCTACAAGTATCAGTATCATCTTATGAAATTTATATGATCTTATTTTTTTTATTTATCTCAGTTATGACATTTTTCCATAAATGAAATATCAAAATTAATAATAAAATGAATGCAAATACAAATAACACAGTAAAATGTAATAAATGTACATAAAATTATATTATGTAAACTTCTGATAAAATTTCATTTCATAATATTTCATAAATTAATTAGATACCTTTCTTATGAAATATGAAATTTAATGTCACTCTTAACAGTCTTATTTTAATTTCTTTATAATATATTTTCCATAAAGCATCGTAAATGTAAAAGGTGAAAGCTAAGTACAAAAATAAAAAATAGAGCGCTGAAAGTTTTCCTTAAAAATAACAAGGTAAATAATTTGTTCACTTAAATATAAATTATTTCACTTTTCTCCTTCCGTAGAACAAATTAGCCTCACGGAACCGTCAATATGTCATTCATCACCTGTCAAGTGACGTGAAAGTTTATGACCTGCTTTGTTTTATTTTTAAATTACATCTTTTCGGTGCAGAAGCTAAGTTAAGGTTGGTTCAAAATATTTTAAATAAACATTATAATTTCTGATTTTCTTAAAATAAGTTTTGAAAAAATGATAATTGATATTTAAAAGAATTTCAAAGTAAGATTTCCAGTTTTTTTTATAAAATGGAAAAAAAATGTTCAATTTTGCTGACTCAAGAAAAAAAACAAGATTTTTAACAAAAATTTCGGACGTGCTCGGAACGATTAAAAAAATGTAAAAAATACCCCAAAATACTTTAATCTTTCCTCTTAATAATAATATAAACATATTTTAGACGATAAAATGTTGTTTTCGTCAAGTTTTGCGTCTTTTTCATCATGTCATGCTTTTTTTAAGAACAAAAATTAAGACAATACTCCAAAATAAATGTAAATATGAATAACAATAAAATTATAAATCAATAAAATAAAATAAAGAATTGTAGTTACAGTACTAGCTGTATTAAATCAACATCAAAAGTTGTAAATTAAAAAGTAAAAAAAAAAAACAGTATCATTTTTTGTATATTTTTAAAGAAGAATTTAAGGCAAAACTGTTGTTAGCCTGGGAAAATATTTTGAACAGGCGAGAATGATCGAACTCAAAGTTCAAAAAAAAAAAAAAAGTGTCACAAGGAAAATATTTATAGCGAATTTACGAAATTTTAAACTAGAAAAGTTCTTAAAAGTAAAAAATTTTTTAAAAATGGGGGGGGCTTCTAAAACTTAACGAAATTTTTATACTTTTTTTTGTTACAATATATTTTTAAATTGAATAATTAATAATACATATTGTAATTAGCATTCATTACAAACACAAATTAACAAAAACTTAGAAAAAATAGATTTGTTCGTTTAGTTATTATCACAGAAAGTCATTTTTTTTCCCAAGGAGGCAATTTTATTTATTTATGAAAGTTAGACTACGTGAAAGGCGCCCCTTTTCAACCTTGTCTTCACGCACGTGTAACAACAATAACGAGTGTGAGACCTCACATGAGCCTACCTGCTGCTCTATCAAGCTAATTGCTAGGAGTGCAAAATTATGAAGCTGAAAAGGTTTGAAAAACTGAAACTGTATTTCTGCAAAAGTTATTGACAAAACAGGTGTAATAATCAGAGTAAAAGTTTACATGGTTCATTGTAAGATTTTTTTCCAGTGGAAGTAAATATAAAAATAAACAATCATGAAGAATAAAGATCGTTTTGTTAGGGTTTTGTTTTCTTTTAAATTTTGTCTGAATTAAAACAAGAAAATTATCTCTCTAAATTTATTTCATGAAGTAAAAAAATCAGTGTTCGCTTTAACGGAATTTACAGAAGGAAATCTTAACATTCAGTTTTAAATAATTTCAGAGTAAAAATAAATTAACGACATTTGTGATTTCTTAAAACATTTTCTAAACATTTTTTAAATATTTGACAATTTTTTTACATAAATGACAAAAAATGACCTTAGCATATTAAAGCAAATATAAAATTAAGTACCTATTTTATTAAGAGATTTAAGTTTTTATTTCTCACGAAATTAATGTAAGCAGATTTTGTAGACAAAAAGAAAGTTTTTTTTTTTAAATGAATAGAAATTCAAACCACGATATAAATAGAATTTCCCTAAATTATGAAATTGTATTAATAAGTAATAATTGTAAAATTCTTGTAATTAAAAATTGTAAATAAATTTAATACGGGAGAGGACTTAAAAAAAATTAAATATTTCTATTTTGAAATAACTCATAAAAACGAAACTTTAAATTAAACAAATTACAATCTTTTTTGATAAGAGTGAGATAAATACCTTAAAAGTTTGAATCTGGGTTTGTTACATCTGATGTACTACATGTCTGAAAAACAACATCAATTAAATATTTAAATTATGTCTTTGCAGAAACAAATCAGACCACAAGAATTATTTCGTCCTTCTCTCCATTTCCGACTGCCTGTTGATGTGAATGAGAGTTACTTCCCTTCTGATGTCGGTGTCGCAGGCAAACATTCTTTCACGCAAAATAATCCGTCCGGAGATATTTTTTAATTTTTTACATTAATTTCTTTTTAAAAGTCATTAAAAATTAATTAAGGCTATAGATTACGCCTGAATAATGTAAAATTCTGCTTTAATAACGCAGTGAATATAATCTAATTTATACAAAAATTATTGAATTACATATCCAATCATTCCGGAAATTCTTTTCACACAACAATATTTTAAATTTCATTAATAGAAAAATCTGTTACTGTTGTGATCTTTCCTGATCTGCAATCCTTCTTCATGACAGAGAATATTTGTTTAGAGTATTTTATTAGGATGATTGTTTAGGATTACAAAATAAATATTTAAAATTATACATTGTACTAACTAAAAAGTATAAAGGGCTTAGAACAATATGTCAACAAATACAATAAAAGTTGGTAAGTATGTTATAGACAAGCGTATGGTTGCAAGAAAGAAATACGACAACAGCAGAAATAGATTTACGTGGTTTATTTCAACAAGAACGTGAGGATTTGGGACAGCTACCTTGTGGTATAGTTCATAAGCCGGCTTCGGATCTAGGTCGATCTCTCATAGTGGTTCACACATGTTGACGGTGGTTGGTGCTCTCTTGCTGACAGCTGCTGAACGCTCGGCCTGACCGTGACAGGTCTACTTTGTGGCCACCTGTTGACTGACTGTGTGACCCCTTTTATAACGTCTTTTTATGGCTTAACAGGCTCGAAAAACGAAGCGAGTATAATTAGGAGGGAAGCATTTTTATTGGACGAAAAATAAAGCACTTTAAGTATTATTTTATTTTTCGACCAGAACATGTGTGTCGGAAACATTTGTAAAGAGAGATAATGGTCATTTTGTGACGGGGCTTTGTCCCGTTTACATCCGGTTCTCGCTCTTGAGTATTTGCCTGTAAATCAGCCGAGATATGTCTTATTTTATAACAAATACAAGACTGACAACAGCAGCAAGTCTTTGTAGTAATATTCAAAATTAAAATAGCTAGCATGTAAAAGTTACAGGGGCATCCGCATTTCAAAAAGCCACACAAAAAGGATCAACACACACACACACACACACGTGCGTGTGTGTACATTCAGGAGCGAAGGTGTGTGGGGGGTCATGTACACAAAGCATGCCTTATATACGAATACAAGTGACCAGCCATTAACGAATATATATATATATATATATATATATATATATATGCCAAACTTTCCCTGACGATCCGTTTAGGTGAAACCTAGGTAGGTTTGTCTGGCTCACTAGGTGTATCTAGGTCTGCTCTACGGTTGTATTGAGCTCTTTTGTTAGTTAGTTGTTACTCGTATCAGGGTTTTTTTCTTTGGGCTTCAGACCTGCATCTGTGCGATTTTTTGTCGGCAGTTTCATGTTTGTAGCTCTTTCTTTTTTTAAAACCTTTTTTTCCCTCGAGATTGATTTGATTAGCAAATCAAAAATTCGAGGGTTTTCAGAAACGAGTCTAATCTATATTTATATGTATATATATATATATATATATATATATATATATATATATATATATATATATATATGAACTCTCCTATCAATAAATGAGGATCAGTAGTGGATGGTTCCTTTCATTTTACATTTTTGCAGGGGCTATTGTGGAGAAAATCAGGTAAGGAAAAGACATTTTTCATTTGTGCTTTCTTAAGTGCCATACTAGCCCAGCCTTGCTGCAGGCGACAAAGCCACACTGACATGAAATTTGTTGAAACAGGGTTTTGATGGTGTCTCTGCTTCAGAGCTTGACGAAGCTGATCACAGTGCTTCAGTCTTCAAAACCCTTTAACTTAATGAAATATGTCTTATGCCACTCCTTTCAGTTTGATGCTTGGACTTTCCAGGTTTTCAGATCAAAGTTGAAACATTTCAAATTGTCTTTCAATTTGTCTTTGTAGCATAAGAGTGGGAGTTCAACTGAATACTTGGAGTTTGGTAGTTATCTATACAGCACCTTTTTTGGAAGCCTATGCTCATCCATTCTCACATGACCATCCCATTCAAGTTGTATCTTTGCTAAAATGGCTTCAATGCCTGTGATGTTGTTACATTTCTTCAGTATTGCACTGTTATTGACCCTGTCATCCCATTTTATATCACATATGGCACGAAGATAGCACATGTGAAAGGTATCAAGTTGATTTATGTGCTTGCAGTATAGGGTCCAAGTTTCAGCACCATAGAGAAGGATTGAGAGAACAACTGATCTGTATATGTCGATCATTACTCAGAGAGACATGTCTTTGGTGTTCCATGGCCTATGCTTAAGATTACCGAATACTCTGCTGGCTTTGGTTATTCTGGATTGGATCTTTCTGTCCATTTTTCCACTAGAAGAGACTGTTGATCCAAGATATGTGAACGCCTCAACAGTTTTTAATGCTGTACCATCAATGAAGACAGAAGGATTTGTGAGAGATGGTTTGACCGGTACTGGCTGGTACATTAGCTCAGTCTTCTTTATGTTGATAGTGAGTCCAAATGCTTTTGCTGTTTCAGAGAATTTATCAAGTATAGTTTGAATATATATATATATATATATATATATATATATATATATATATAGTGAAAATACAAAATATCCAATGTTGATAGCACAACTCAGAGTTTCATTCAATCTTCAGGTGCAAATATGTTCTGGTGTTATATATATATATATATATATATATATATATATATATATATATATATACACACACACAAGAAAAAAGAAATGGTCAAGTTAGCTCACCATTTTAAAGAGCCTTGTAAAAGATGGTTCTCCATCCTGGTACCTCCATTCAACTCATCATCTCCATCTACAAAACCCATCCCAAGGTAGTGACTTCAGCTTTGCTTGGACCCATCTCCCACACCTCCCCCTATATCACCCCATCCACAACCCATCACACTTAGCTGGTGAATTCAGAGTCATCCATAATTTTCACTAACTCACCATTGATATAGAGTCTGCCAAGAATCATGATATTCCACTTGTAAGTAATTTAGAAAACCTTGTGCCATGATGTTGTTTGTAAATGTGTAACTGTTTCTATTTTTTGTTTTGTTTTCTTTTTTTATTCTTTTCATTTGTTTTTCTTTTGCTGGTTTTGTCTCCAATAATTATCAAAATATTTTTATTCAGGCCCCCAACTCCACCAATTCAAACTGTTTAGCTAGTAGTTTTAATTGTGTGTGTGTGTGTGTATATATATATATATATATATATATATATATATATATATATTGTGACGTATTACCAATACGTCAAGTAGTAGAGATTTTACAAGTATATAAAATGTGTGACCAGCGAGTGGAGATGCATTTTTATTTTTATATTTTCACTTTATTTCTCAGTCCACGGGGAAAAGAAAATTGTTTCAATTTTCATCAAAGTCCACAATGTATTTTTAAAGAAAATAGATTTCATATCATCTTTGGTATTGCACTTACTGACCCATCAGCCCATGTCTCATGGCCATTCAGTGTCTGACCTTGAGTCCCTGTCTCATGACTTCCAACCTTTCTTGGGCTAAATCATGTGACTGTTCGAATTTTCCCACAGAAAAGACAACTTTTTTTATAGTAGAACATTTTACATCTACCAGAGCACACACATTAAACTCAGTCTCCATACATGAGAGTATCGGAGAAAAGATATGGTGTATTTTCACAGATGACAAGCCCATAATGAAATACTGCAATATAGATACAGTAGATAGAATATTTGAAGTCTACGGAAGCACACGCATTAATCTCAGTTTCCATACATAAGGGTATTGGAGGAAAGACATGGTATATTTCTACAGGCGACAAGCTCGTAAGGAAATACTGCAACATAGATGTATATAAGAATAACCACTAGTTGTTTTCATGGAAGAAAAGTTGCCTGCGAAAGACTTCACAATATATATTGGAGATTTTGAAGAATGTATAAAAAAAATACAAACTGGTTGTTTTCACGGAAGAAAAAAATGTCCACGGAAAACTTCACAGCAAATATTAAAGAGTGATTGAAGAAAAAGACAAGGAGAAGAAAAACAGAAGGAAAGAGAGAAAAAAAAGAAACCCAAGTGAATGAATTTCTTCAGGAAAAAGAGTTCATTGCCTCCACAGCTTCTGAGAAATAAAAGATTTGCCACTGTCACAATTGAAAGAATGAGAGACTCTGAATTGGTACATTATATTCCCTTATGGAGAATATTTGCTTTGTATTTACATTGAACTTTGAGCTTATGACTCCATGAGCCACCCCCTTGTTCTAATGCAAGCGAATACCTTTGTATTTTTTTTTTTGTGGACTGATTGATATGTATAGGTGTTCGCTAGTCACACATATGATAATATCATATAGATTATTTTAGTAATTTCCTATCCACCCCCATTAAGTACGAATTTTATTTTTGCCAATTTTGCTATTTGTATAATTTATAAATATGTTTGCGAATTTAAATCTGTCATTCTTGTTGTTTTCCGTGATCTCACAAGAGCATTCCTTATTATTTTTCTCTCATTCATCGGGGTCTTGAGAAGGAGTCCCCTTGCTGTGTATATATATATTTTTTTTTTATTTCATTTACACCTGGGATCCCTCGTTTTTTTTTTTATTTTATTCGTTGCGCGTCTGTTCGTTGTACCTAACAAGCGTATAATCACCCCATAATTATATATATATATATATATATATATATATATATATAAACCACAAGATGACTTCACCAGTCTTAATATATATTGGTATCACTGAAATAAAATCTTTTGATTAATTTTTGTAATTTTCTTGTATTTTTTTGTCCTTTTCACTTTTCTATGCCATCCTATTTCTGAATTTTGTTCTTCCTTCATTGTTTTAATAGTGGGTATTCATACTTATACTAAGTTAAAACTTAATTATTATTTTATTCTCTTCTCCCACCTTACTAACTCCAACCCACAAACCCTTCCCTCGCAAACAGATTGGGGGGGGGAGGGCTAGAATATTTTTTTTACACTCTCCAGCACACAGGTTTGCATACATGTATACATGTCTATTTTGGGGCCCATATATATATATATATATATATAATGTAGGTAAGTATTCCACTGTTGAAGTGTCAGTGAAAACCCTACTCCATGTTCTTGCAAGTGAAGCACATTGTTAGCAACCTAATAGGATGAAAAATTAGATCTAACAGAGCAGAAGAACTCTCAATGAGTCAATTAATTAGAGGCAGTGTCTCCATAAACCACCGTGGAGAAGGCAACAGGAAACCACTCCACTATTAATCACAAGATATATTACAGCAATTAACAAACAAATTATGAAACCTAACAGTGTGAAGGGAGTTAAGTCTATGGGAATTAACTCCTTGCCTAGTAAGGACCAACATGTGCAACAGTTATCACCTGATCGTCATCTAGTGACTGCTAGCATAAATGGTGTAAAGGGGATAAAATTCTAGGAACTTATCCCTCAACTGGAAAGAAACATCATGAGCAACAGGTGATACTGGACCTTCATCCAGCGACTGCTCACATCAAACAAAAAATAACTCTTTGAATGTTAGAACATTAAACAATTGTGGCCAGTTGGAAAATGTAAAACAGGAGATGAGTAGGTTAAATATCAATATTTTAACTGTATGTGAAAGTAGGTGGCCAAACAATGGAGATTTTGTCAGTGACAACCACAGGATTATATATGCAGGCATAGAGAAAAATGAAAAGGTGTTGGACTGATACTAGATCAAGACATAATAAAAAAAAATGAAGTCTGGGATACTGTCAATTATCTGAAAGAATTCTTGTAGTTAAACTGAAAGGAAAGCCTTTCAACATATTTATTATAATTGTGTATGCAACGACAACACTACAGAAGAAGAAATTGAATCTTTCTACTCCATCCTAGATAAAAACCAAGGCTCAGTGCAAATCACAAGAAGTTATAATTATCATGGAAACCTGAATGCCAATGTAGGCAAGGAGAGGATAGGGAAGATAGCTGGCAAATTCAGACTAGGAACCCACAATGAACACTGAGAAAAATGGGTACAATCGTGCATGGCCAATGACCAGGTAATAGTGAAACCTGGTTCCAAGAACATCAAAGATAATTATGGAGAAGCCCAGCAGGAGAAACTAAAAACCAAATTGACTACATAACTATCAACAAAAGATTCAAGAATGCAGTTGTTCACTGCAAAACCTATCCAAGTGCCGACTGCAGAAGCAACTGCCTCCCTGTTATATGTAAACTAAGAGTAAAACTACGGAAACTGAAGAAGCCTAATGCAGCACCTAAATTGCAATCTGACAGACTCCTGAATGACCCAAACCTGCAGGAAAATTTTATGGACAATGTGAAAAGGAGAATGGAAACTCAAAATGGGACATACTAAGAGAAGCTTTAGTGACATCAGCAAACATCATCATCCTGGAGGAGAATGGAGGAAGAAAAAACAAATGGATTACAGATGAGATTCATGATATGATGCAAAATGGAATAGAAATCAGAAAACTACACAATGAAATAAGGACCAAATGTAAGCAGGCTAAAGAAGAATAGTTTAACAAAAAATGTGCAGAAATAGAGAGAATGAGTATCACAAATAAAGGAGATATGCATAAAAAAATAGGGGAACTAACAGGACAGAAGACATTCTCATCAACAGGATGCATAAAATTCAAGGTCAGAATGCTCATATTAGAGAAAGAAAAATTTCTCCAATGCTGGAACAAATATATCGGAGAACTCAACCTCGATGAAAGTGAACAACCAGCAATCCACAGAAATGCTGACAGCCCAGAAATACTAAAAAACTGAAGTGGAAGCCAAATTATATAGAAACATGATGGCAGGGCCAGACAGAATTGTAATAGAGATGCTGGCAGCCTTAGATGATTTCAGCCTAGACAAAATTACAGAAATAATAAATGAAATCGACAATAATCATGATATACTGTAAGATCTAAGCAGATCTATTTTCATAGCACTGCCTAAGAAACCAGGTGTAATGAATGTGAACTCCACCAAACAGCGTAATGAGCCAGATAACAAAACTCATCATCCAAATTCTGCTGAACAGAGCACACAGCAGAATCAGGCCAGAGATAGGTCACAAACAATGCAGATTTGTTAAAGACACTGGAACAAGGATCACAATATTTATGCTCAGAATGTTATCAGAAAGAACAATACAAATGCAGAAGAATGTGTATCTATGTTTTATAGACTAGGCAAAGTATTCAACAAAGTATGCCACAAAGATCTGTTAGATCTGCTCAGCAACTTTGACATATTTGGGAAAGACATCAAAATAATCAAAAACCTCTACTGGCAGCAAACCACCTGCATCTGGATAAAAATGAGTTCAGAAGATATACAAAAATAGAAAGGGGTATAAGGCAAGGATGTGTCTTCTCACTGGACTTATTCAATCTATACAGTGAGGCAATTCCGAGAGAACTAGAAATCCTATCAGGATTCATCATTGGTCGCCACAATCTTAACAACATAAGATATGCAGATGACAGTGCTGACAGCAGACATGTAAAGGAAACTACAAAACCTCCCACAGAAGTAGAGTAAGAAGGAACTAAGCATAAACTACAAGAAGACAGAATGGTCATCAACAAAAAAGATGAGCCCAAAATGCAATTTACAGGTTAGGGACACTAAAATCAAGCAGGTACAGAAATTTAAATATCTGGGAAGTGTTCTAACAGAGGACAGAAAGTGTAGCACTGAGATCCGAAGATGTATTGGGATGGCCAAAGATGCATTCCAAAAGCCTAAGCAGAGTATTATGAGACAAGAAAGTTTCATTGGAAACAAAGAAAAGAGTACTGAACTGTTATGTGATATCTGTCCTCCTGTATGGCAGCGAATGCTGGACAACCTCCTCAAAGATGATGAAGAGACTCAAAGTAACAGAAGTGTGGTTCTACAGAAGGATGCTAAGGATACCATGGGCCAAGCATGTGAGCAATGACAAGGTTTTGGAGAGAATGGAAACAAAAAGGAAATATACTTAACATCAAGATGAGGCAGCTGAAATTTTCTGGACACATAATGAGGAAGGAGGGCTTGGAAAATCTTATACTCACAGGGTGGAAAGCAGGACAGGGGAAAGCAACATGTGACATACTTAATGGGCTTGAGCAAGTGGATGGCAGAACAAGGTCTGGGAGAATAACAAAAAGACAAAACTTTTAAGAGTTACAAGGAAAAGGAGGTGCCATGATCACCTACATCCTGAAGAGAGACAGCACATAAAAGAAGAAGAGAAAATGCTTATTGTTTAGCAAGTAAAAGCAATGAATTACTAGCCATTTTAGTCGGGAGCATGAGAGTCAGAACATAATAGTGAGTGGTTAAAGAGAGACAGTCACTGAAAAACAGAAATTCTTTTGCTTGTATTAGAAAAGGCCATGGCTTTAGCCTTCCCTGTTTTATTATTCTCTTCAAGCTGGATTCATGAAAAAAGAAAAAGAGAATAATAAAGAGGTGGAGGTCACCTGAGAGAAAGCCACTGAAAAACAGAAACTTTTCCTTGCTTTCCAACAGTATTAAACCAGCAGACACTCTATACTGAATTGATGATGTTTTTATTGTGTGTGGCTGAAATCAAAAACTTACCTATTCAAAGGACTTATAGTCAGATAGATTTAGACAAAAATTTGTATTATTCAGTTCTGAAGAATATATTGGGAATGTCTGATGACTTTAGTGTCATATCAAAAGTTCTTTTTTTTTTACTAATTTTTAATCATGAAGAGTATTAAGAACCGGATTCAGTCATGTGACCAATTACCCAGCAAGTTTTTTACCAGTTTATACATGAAGTGAAAAGGAGCAACTGACAAAGTCTATTTTTGTGATTAAAAGGTAAGTTTTCATCCATTTCGATGCCTTAAGATTTAATTTTAAATGTTCAAAATTATTTTTAAATTTATGTAAAAAAATTTCATGATAATATTGTATATTATTTCATTAAATATGTTAAATTTTGTTAAAGGAGATGTAAAAAAATTCAATGCAATACCTAAGTTTAAAATTAAATTAAAAGTATTTAAATTCAAATTTCATGCATTAATGTTGGTGTTATTTTAAAGATGAAAGGTAGAACTTTATCTATAAAAATTTTTTTGATATTTAAAACAATTTAAATTAAAACAATATTAGTTTACATCAAAATTACGAATTTTCACTTTTCCAGTCATCAATCAATGTCATTTTCTGACATGTGTCATCAAGCAATAAGAAACTTATTTAAACATTTTTTAAAAATTAAACTAAAAATGTTATTAATTTGATGAATTGTAAACAAATTTAAACTAAAATTACTTACTTTTTTTTCTTAAAAAGCAGTGAAAAACAACTTTTTTGTGACGAGTGGGGTCTTTTTCCAACTCTACATCAGCAATTAGCCTGCATAATGGACTGCATGCTCTGGTTCCTAAGTAACCCATCGACACTGTGTACTATATATATATATATATATATATATATATAAAAGGACCAGACTCCAGCAAAAATCCACACAAAATTAGGGAGAAGCAGAAACTGCATTCAAAGATTTCTTAACATCCAAACCATCAGTTTTATCATAAAAACCCCAAAAGATAAAAACCCAAGCAGCAAGAGTTCAAAAGACTCACCATCAACTGAAACTACCTGGTAACTTTTCAAAGGCAATTGACTCTTCATTTTGTTATACTACTTTTATTAAGATCTCTTTTTGATTCACAAATATCTTTCATTAGACATGTCAGCAGGATGTGAGAGCTAAGAAGGCAAAAGGGTCTCTGAGCACCAAATCTAGTCTATAAAACAAATCCCCACAAAAATCTAAAATACAATAGCCAATCACAAATGTTGCTACCCCCACCCCCAAAAGGATGACCCTGGGAGCCTGCTCCTGTTAAACCACAGATATAAAAACAGCACACCTCGCCAACAACAGGTAGTTCAGCTCAACATCATGACCTTGTCATAAGACCGCCAGCTCATCAACACACCTCACTGGTGTCAATTTCAACCTCAAAGATAGACTGATCATCACACAATGACACCCCACTCATGCTACCATGCAGCTTCATTAATCCACTCCAGGCCTCTTTCCTGACACCAACCCTGACCTTGATCAACCAACCCAACAAATCTGCTAACACCCAGTCTTAACAACAATACCTTTACACCTAATTGCTTCCCTTATCAATAACAACTAAAGAATAACATATCAACAATTCTGTCACCTTTTCACACAATTATATATGCTGGAATTGAGGTCAATGTATATATGTTGAAAATTGATGAATACACACTTGTTAAAATTTTAATCCTTGTTTGTTCTTTCCTTTGCAACCATATGCTGGTTATAATACTTTTCTCCTGTCAACTGAGAGTAATGAAATTTACTAAAATGTATGAATTTTATATATATATATATATATATATATATATAAGAAACATGTCCATGTCTATGAACATTTCAAATAATAAAACTGTTTATTATGAAAAATACATTCACAGAAAATCAACTTACACATACCTTTACATAAAAATGTTTGTAGCAAAAATGTAAACAATTTGCATGTATCATATTCTCAATTATATAAACCTTCAATAATTGTGATAAGATTAAAAACTGCAAATTGTTTACATTTTTACACAGGTATGGTTGGAGTCCTTGCTGGTTGGAGGGAAGATCTGTCTGTTAGTCTCTCATGAGAGAAGACAAAAGTAATTGCAAAGACATCTGAAGTGTCATCTACCGTCTCCACCAGAATGTGCCAAATGAATCAATGAAGCAATAGCCAAATATATTGGAAACAAGATTCATGTTTTTACTTCTTACCATATTGCTATTTCCACCTTCTGTGTTTTTGTTGACCATTCAACAGTTCTTTCCCAGTTTTTGTGCTCACTGACACAAATGGGAATCAAGACACAACGTAATGTGATTTGTCCCATTGGTGAAAGACTGTGAAAATCACAGTTGTATGTTTTTACAAAAATATTTGATAAACTCCAGTGAAAAGCTTTTCATTATAACTGATCAGCCAGCTGCAATAAAATTTGTTCTTATTAAGAATTTAAATTGTCTTGTCATTTCTTGCCTTTGTTCTAAAATCTTGACAACCAGGAATTGTAAGTTATCTATCACTTCTACAGATACTGTGATAGAGGCAAATATAGATACAATGATAGAAGCAGATAAAAATACAGTTATAGAAGCAAATATGGATGCAGTGAAAGAGGCAGGTATGGATACCGTGATAGAGGCAGGTATGGATGCAGTAATATAGAAAGATACATTTAGAGTGATAGATACAGATATAGTGATAGAGGCAGATACCATACTATGATAGAGGAAACTACAATACTATGATTATTTTTCTGTTCAATATTCTTCCTATTAAGCTACCATTAGCAAATATCTAGTTTACTTTCTATGCTGTTTTTCCCTGATGCTTCTTTCTAAAAAAAAAAATCTGGACTGTAGAATCCTCTTAAGCTCTGAAAAATAAGCCAGAAAAACACTACTACTACTATCAACACATTAAAATAAATTTGTAATGAAATAGAGGTGCCAACAAATGATAATACAAGAGATAATCACTGATATTTAACATTACATTTCATTCATCTCCTGACTTAGTTAATTACTCTAGTGTGTGTGTGAAACATAGACCTTACATTCTCATCTGCAATGTCACAGAAACTGCCCATGAATGTAATACATTTCTTTCCTACATTTTCATCTCAAGTGTAACTAGGAAGTTATCCCACTCAACCCTGCACCTGGCTTCTCTGATATCACACACAGCGTAAAGTATATTTTGGCATCATTTGAGGTGAGATACATACTATGCATTATTTCTTTTTTTAAAACACAAACCATGTCACTGTAAAAGTATTACATGCTTTGAAGATGTTTAAAAATGGTATTTTAGTGGTTATCTGTAGCTAACATGTAGGTGCCCATGTAGATAATCAGTAATTAAAACATACATGCATACAGAAAACTTAGCATCAAAAACAAAGTTACATAACCCAGAAAAACTAACTAGGCTATCTTTTCAACTTTGACAGAGTTCAAAAACATCTACACGGCCTTGTGAGTGATGAATTATTTTCCACCTTACAACCCCTTTTCCACAAACAAAATGTGGCAAGCTACTTGCTACTCTATTAATATTTCCATGGCAAATATTCAGACAAGCAACATTCCTTAGTTCCACCAACCTTGACCTTTGCAACTGGAACCTGCTATGCCACATACACTGGGATGAACCATCCTCATTCCCTTCATATTCTTTTAGTAAGAAGGAAGTCCCACTCAGACAGCTTCTTCCCATGAACTGCTATTTTGTGCAACAGACTCCAAAGAGGATGCTTTCCTGACAACTATATGTATACAATAACCCCCTTTAGTAACCTTCTATTTTGGGTGGTTCTTGGGCCTTGTATAGAAATAACATTAGCTAAAAAAGAAAAAAAATTAAGATATCCTATTTGCAATACAGATATGAACAAACAAACAATTTGTTAAGAGCAATGCATCATGTTATAATGGTAAAGATGCTACACAGATCTATTACTACTGAGTAGTCAGTTTAATACTCACTAAATGTCTTATGCTTCTGGTCTGGTGCCAAAACTAAGCTACACTTAGGAAATAAGGATACTTCAGGGTTTGGTTATGGTTAATGGGCTAGTCTGGTTGACTATTAATACTGACTGAATTTGATCATAAAAAAGTTTGTGACTACACCTTATTTATGTTCAATACTTCCTGAATATTAAACTAACCAAATAACATTCTTTTTACCATTGTAAAAATATGGGATTTTTATTAAGCACAAGTTGCAGTAAACAGTTTGTCTGTAGGTTTGAAATAGTCATGTCAGTCATGATGACCGGTTGAAAACACAGGAGAAAGAAAGAAAAATTATATTAACTTCAAATGGCATCCATGAGCCCTACTAACAGAATCTCATTATTTCAAATAAATGAAATCAGTTGAAACAATATATAGTCACATTATGTTTTATATTATAGAACAGATATGTCATTTGGCATTGGACTATAGGGAATTCTGTCATCCAGGTTTTTTTTATATGCAAAATTTGAACATCTGAATTCCAAATAATAATAAAATAAAGAAAACAGCTATTCCTGTTAAATAAATCAGTTGTATTTACAAACATATGTACATGAATTGAAAAGAATCAAAAACAGGTAAAAATAGTTTTTAGTTGAGTTAAGGACTTTGAGTAGTTGGTCCACAGAAAAATCTGTAGTTTAGAAAAAAACTTTTAAATATTTGGTCACAGAAAAAAAAGCTGTGGTTGAAAAAATACTTTGACCATGAGGGAAGATTCACTGACAGTCTTTGTTGTTGTTGAAGATGGTTCATTTAAAGTTGATGGCACATTTCTTTCAGCACACACTGTGGGGGCACTATATAGCCACATCCTCTCTTGTGTTTGAACAACATGGAGACAGTTGCATATCTGTTACTGAAAGTTGAAATATGTGGGTTTTTAGAATTTTTTTTCCAAAAGTAGGCTCAAGAAAAATAGAGTATTAGTCTTCTCTGGTTGATCAAGGTGATATTAATTTCTAACTAATAGATACTTTGATTTAAATTATGTGTGTTGTATTCTGGATTCTTTTTGGCATGTTTGTAAATATTGTCTATTATTGGGTAGAAAATAAAGTTTAAAGTTTGGGTTTTATTAAATTTCTAAAAATAAGCCTAAAACAATAAAAATTGCCGAGGAGAATATGTTAATAGCAGAATCAAGAGAAAAAAAAACATTCTTTTTACACACCATTTTTTTTTCCAGGTATGCATGTTAAAATTTGCCATTAATTTAATGAGTTCACTGGGTGCTCCACTGTTGTGGCTCTGTGCCATATCAAGATAAACTTAATAAATCTATATATTTATATATTTCCGTTTCTAACAAAGGTTACTGCATTATGAATTTATTCCATACAGAATAAAACAAAAAAACACTTTTTCAAGTTTATGACCAACTAACTTCTGAAATGTATAAACAATTAAAAAAAATATTATTTGGGTTGTATCCACATTATTATAAATTGTACGTATTGTAAATACTTGGGCATTTTTTAAAAATTTTATCTGATTCTGAGATTCAAGTGTAAAAAAAAAAACAAAAAGAAAAGAAAAACAGTACAGGTAGAGACTTATTTTTTGAAAACTGATGATCCTCATAATTCTTTTAATCCAGATAAAATTACAAGCACACTGCACATTTGTTAGTTTACTGGAAGACTGCAATATTCTTCTTATTCTGGACAACTGTTCAGCCCATCCTCGAGCTGAACTACTGTATAAGAATGCATATACATAGTTATTACCAAACTGTACATCCCTTATCAAAACCCAAAACCAAGGAAAAAAAAAACCTTTGCTTCACAAAGGTTAACTATTATCACTCACTTTTCATGAAATGCAATTTATATGCAATAAATTCTGACAAGCCTGTTGAGACATTTATCAAAGAATTTAATAGGAGATATATAATTTCAGTTGAAATGCCTAGATGTAACCATAAGTTCTATGCCAACAGATTCTTCTATCACACTTCTCACTTGTGGAACTTTTCCAGGTTCTTGTTTCCCAGTCAAATTTGATCTTCAAAAATTTAAATGCAACATCAATCATTATCTACAGATTTCTTAATTCTTGTTCTTTTAATGTTCTCTCTCTCTCCTTAAGTTTTTTTTCCTCATATTCAGTAACCATTTACATCTTAGTGGCTTTATTGCCTTGCTTGGGGTGAAATGATTAAAAAAAAATTGTTTAAGTGTTTAACAATCCTAATGTTTTAAAGATATGAAACATGCACAATTAAATTTCAGTGATGTATTATTAAATTCTCATTATGTGAACTCTGTTGTTCTGGCAATATGATGAATCGGGCATGATTTTGTAAAACAATGATGTTAGAACATTGGTGAAAATATTTGTACATTTTTTAAATTCCTTTTTCATATATGAAGCTAATCCAGGTTTGTATAATATTTAGATAAAAATGGACTGGTAACAAAGACTGAAAGGGATAAGGGAGAGAATGAGAAAATACAATGTTGCTGTTTTTATAGTTTATCAAGCTATTGGGGGGTTATTTAAAATAAAGACACTGGTTCCCATACTGTGACACTGATGCCATGAGGTAGTTAAATATTGATTCTGAGCAGAAAACAGTTAAGCCCAAAATGGAATTTAGGCTGAGAGAGGGAGAGAGAGAGTGAGAGTGTGGAGATATTTTCCTTGGTGAAAATGGGACACTCTGGATTTCTTCTCTCCTAAAGTTTATTCTTCTTATCTATCAAGAGTCTGGCATGTGGACAAAAACAGATTTGGAGAACAATTTTCTCTCTTTGGGAATTTAGGCAAACAAATATATTTTCATTGATGAAAATGAATTGGGAAATTTTATTTTTTCATTATGAAGATATTTCTTCTTTATCATAGCACCTGCCATGGCTTGAACCAGCACTGTGATTGCTACAACATTCGATCTTCCACTGCTCTGAGATCAAGAACACAACATGAGCAGAGTTAGTGTGGATCAAATTGGCCAGCAATCAACCAGCTTCGACCAACATCAGCATTGACCAGCACAGTTAGACCTGTGGTTAAAAACATCATGAGGATCGGACCACTTAACGTGGTTACACCACAAGGTGTAGGCAGCGGCAGGTGATATAGTACAATCACCAGAGTTAAGCAACATTGAGCCTGGTCAGTACCTAGATGGGTGACTGCTTGGGAAGATCAGGTACTGTAAACTTGGATTTGTGTGTAGTGTAATGGATAACGGCTCAAAATTGTTAATCAGAGAGCCTAATTCTAATTCCTGTCAAGTTTGTTATATTCACTAATGTGCAAATAGCCTTAGAAAAGGTATGAATCCACATCTCCCCTTCCCCCAGCTATGGTTTAATTAGTAAGACTTGTATTACTAAATCATTATTATCTTACAATCTAAAAATATTTCTGGCTTTAAATAACCTGTAAAAGGTTGATAAGTTGTAGAAAATGAATCAATAAAAGATTAATATTAAAAACATATTTTGGATTGTAAGTATATGTCTTTTTTCTTACGAGTGAACATTGAATTAATAATTTTTAGCAAATAATGATTTTTCCAGATACAAGTTCTCCTATTTAATCCATGATTGAGGAGGAGATAGCTTCATACCTTTCCCCAGGGTATTTGTTCATGAGTGAATATAACCTGAACAGAATTTTAAATTGGCTTTCCGATTTCTCATTTTGAGCCACTAGCCATTACACCACCTGCACATCCATGAGAAAATACAAGCAAAAAGGTGAGAGAAGCATTCATATAGTTAATGTGAATCACATTTTGTCTTGCTAATGTAAATTTTTTTAAATAATTTTTTTCTGATAAAACTAATCCATTGACAAAACATGTTAAAATAGAAGTTTTCCAAATTGTCTTATATATTTACCATTCCATCTCTAAAGACTCACATATATACCATCAAACCCACAAATAGGAAGAGAATTCATGATCTGAGGGTCTTTTGTTCTTTTTTGTCAGCATAAACTGATAAGAACCAACTATTTTCTCCATCAGACTCTATAGTGACATTACATGGATAGTTTTTGTCAATATCATAATTATCCATTAGTGTGAGCCTCATGCATACTTTTGCTACTAGTGCCTATCTATAAGATCAGAAATGCTTGGATTTTTGTAATGTGACTGAAGTGATTACTTTTGGTATATTTTATTATATTTGTTTCTTATTTTTTCACAAAAATGAAAGACTTGTTAACAGGTGCAAAAATAATTAATTTCAAAACTGAGCAATTTTTATCAAACATTTCTGTTAGTGGAATAGAAATTCCCTCAAGAAAAAATTCCAATCTCCACACTTACCTTCATTTAAAAAAAAAAAAAAAAAAAACTATTTACAGCTATGATTCCACCTTTGAATTACCATTCTTTATTTTTTATGCTTTATTTCACTAAAAATAATAACTATTTAATAATCTCATATACATAATTTTATAACCTCATATATATATATATATATATATATATATATATATATATATATAGATATGACTATTAATACAAATATAAATTTTGTCATTTAGCTGATTGATGTTATCCAGTTTTGTAGACAAACCTTTTTGTAATCATTTGGTCCACTCATCAGTTTCAGCAACTGACTGCCAATTTTCACATTTATGTACTATTTATTAGTGTTAGATTAATATTTTCTTTTTTTGTGTGTGTGTGTATGTGAACATGTGTAAAATGTCATGGTTATTTTTGAGAATTTTATTGAAATTCACTTCAAAGCAATAGAAAGCTCTAATCACATTCACAGTAGGACTCTGCAACTTTGAAGGCTCTTACTGTAACAGTCCTGTCACTTTTGCTGTAGTGCTTCAGCTCCTTGTCTGCCTTGTAGCACTCAAAAGTGTCCATAGTCTTAGTCACAGCATTTTTCATCTCCTTCACATTCTCAAAATGTTAATCCAACATGCAGCTTTGATCATTTTACAGGCTTCTGATAAAATTTTGTATTAATCTTGGTAAAAGCCCAGCAAAAATCAATAAAATGATCAAGACTGCTTACAAATAAAGGTTTACGAGGATGTAGATGAGCTGAATAGTGTACCAATTTCTTCAAAGATTCTGGAAACATTCAGATCTGCTCAGTTTCGTATCCTAACATAAACAAAGCAATTTCTAAAGTAATAGGTTTTTATTATTAATCCGACAAATTTGGCTTTACTAGATCAGTGATAACCTTCATGGCTAAGTTGATCTAAAGCACATCAGATTCTATTGCTAAGGAGAATGCATCTTTTCTTTAATAAGATTCCTTGAGTATTCAGAGTGGTAGACAAAAATAATTAATATACTGTTTAATAAATAAAGTGTTTACTCAAATATAGGTAATCACTAAAAATAAATGATTTTATATATATACATATATATATATATATATATATATATATATATAAAATGTGATAAAATATAGTTTTAAGGTATGCTATATTATGGGTTAAAGTGTTCAATGTCAGAGATAGAACATATGTAAATATAAAAGTGGACATTGAAGTCAACATCCAGCAACAACACTGTGTGTTGACTTCAATGTCTGTGTATATATGTCTGACTGAATAAATTACAAACATTACGTCTGCTTATTTTTATCATAATCATTTCATATTCACAAATATTTTTCCATATATTACAATTAAATAAGGCAAGAAATGCACTGTAACAGTGAGAATCACTTTTATTTCCCAAGTACTTTCCATCTCTTTGAGATTATCATCAGGGGTACAACTGGTAAGGCAAAAACTATGTATAGCTATCCATTACTGAATTTTTTCTTTTGCCTTTAAATGCCATGGCTGACAATTATGCTTTAGCATCCATTAGAACGTAAAATGTTACCCATTTTTGGAATTTTTTGTTACATAAAAGAAAAAATTCAGAGATGGAAAGTACTTGGGAAATAAAAGTGATTCTCACTGTTACAGTGCATTTCTTGCCTTATTTAATTGTAATATATGGAAAATATTTGTGAATATGAAAGGATTATGATAAAAATAAGTAGATGTCATGTTTGTAATTTATTCAATCAGACATGCTGAAAAGAGAATTTTCTGCCTAAATACACACACATACATACACATATATTTTAAACCTTATGACAATTTGAAGATACATAAAATAAAAATAAAAAACATAATTTTTACAATAATTCTTCATCAGAAGATGATCATGATAATTTTCTTCATATGTATTCACCTCCAACAACTTCCTCAATATTTTTGATGACCTTAGAATTTCCATGATAAAAAAAAAAAAAATATCACAATTTTTACTCAAATGTTCATTCATGGCCCAATTCTAAGGGTCACCAGTTATTATGAACATGATACTAACTCTCAGGTTCCATACTTTCTTTAATTCTCAACTAGGATCCTGGTATTTATTTATTTTTATTTATTTACTAATTAAACAATTTATTTTTTGAAACAGAGAAATTTTAACTTTCTGGTGGACAGAAAGTTTTGTAAATACAAAGTAAAATTTACTTATTCTTTCCCAAATCAGACACTATAAAATTATTATTGTCATCTGAACTTGAAAAATAAGAAAAAAGAAAAAAAAATTATGTTTGATTATATTTACATTGGCATTGTATTATAAAGGAGGAATTTGCTTGATAACTTGATCACTTTATCATAAAACCATCTGAAGATAAACAGCAAAATGTGTTTCTTCAAGTACTTTATAGTTTTTGCTAGTTTTGTTTGAGAGAATGTTTTTAATATTTATTCTCATCACAAAAAATACTGTCAAAAATGTTAAAAAAATGAGGTGGTCACAAAATGAAGCAATAAGAAAAAAAATAAGCAAAACAATAAAATCCAATTTTATCTAAAAATGTAATTGAACAACTGTTTGGTGCTCTCAAGAAAGAACAAGAAACATTTTTCAAGGACAATTTTCCAATTGTAATGAAGTGATAATGTCTGTATGATGAATGATAAAAGATGCTTAAAATTACAATTCATAATGTCAAAAATAAGAAAGTTATTTTATCAAATACAGCCTTGATGTCCAGCTTTGCAGAGAAAATAGTAAAAATAGTAATGTTTTAATCTGTTCCTTTCAAAGCAACCAATATTAACAACTATTATTAAATGGCAAAGAACATGCCCATGCGTGCATGCACACACACACACACCATATATACCCCCACATAAATGGCTGGCCACTCATATCCAAGGATGCCAGTCTGCTAGGGTGGCTAGCTAATCCCCATTGCTGACGCCTGCTCAGGTACATTTTATGTTCGTTCAATACCCATGGTTTATACTGCAACTATGCTGAGTGTACCTTAGTTACAGTTTCTGTGAGAGATTGCATTATCTAGCATGATCAACAGTCTGAACAAGACCAGCACACTCAGACCCTCAGTCATGATGACTTGTGACTTTGTGCTTGCACAACCATCAACGGTCCCCAAGGATTCCATCTACCCAACTTCACTCACAAGGTTTGGTTCAACCCATGATATGGTTTTCAGGTGCTTTCCAAAGGTGCCACATGCTGGGATTACCTCCTCCAGACTGATAACATTAAGAAGTCACTTTTCTGACAAATCGACCTGGTGAGATTTGAATCCAGGTCTCATGGTCAGAAAGCAAATGTTCTAACCACTCATACACATACTACATTCATACATGCACATACTACATATACACACACATTACACATCACAAACACACCACATGTTTTAATATCAGATTATCAATCTCACTTAAAAGACTAGTACAACACAATCTTCCTTTATATAGTACAAAGACATCTCAGTAAATATCTTCTAGTCTGATCTCAGATGTATAAAACCAGAAATTTATATGTCAACAGTTTCACTCCAGATCTAAATGATATGTGTCCATATATAACTTTAAGTAAGAGAAATTTCCTCTTATGTGTTTCCATTAAATCCATCTAAGGAATCTGGGTGTAATTTCGTTAGTAAGAAATCAATGTCTGTCCGATTGATCTGCAATGAAAAAAATAAAATAAAATCATGAAGTACTACAAAAATCTCAAGCAGGTACAACTTCAAGTTTGTAGACAGGATTGATCTGTTTTTACAGCTTATTTAAAGCCAAAAAATATTTTTTAGATTGTAAGAATTTTTTTTTGAGATGATAATGATTCATTGATAAAACTCCTACTAATAAACCCATAGCTGAGGGGTAAAGAGGTCATACATTTGGATATTTGTTCCAAGGATATTTGTGCATAAATAAATATAAGAAACACAACTAGATTTGGAACTCAACTCTCAGATTTACAATTCCAAGCCGTTTATCTATTACACCACCCACACATCCAAGCTAACAGCATCTAGTATTCCCAAGCAGTTACCCACCTAGGTACTGACCAGGCTTGATGTTCTTAACTTTGGTGATCATGCAAGAACCGGTGTTTCAGTGTGATAAGCCATCGGCCATAAGCTTTTGTTTGTTTTGTTTTGTTTTATGGCATATCAAGCTCAATAGGTTATTTAATGCCAACAAAATTTTTATTGCTGGTAATATTTTTTTCCAAAAATGTATTGCTGGTAATATTATTTTTTATTTTATTTTTTTTTCAAAAACGTTTGCTGGTAATATTTTTTTTCACCAAAAATGTATTGCTGGTAATAATTTTTTTCCTTCAAAAATTTATTGCTGGTAATATTTTTTTACAAAAATGTATTTCTGGTATTAAAACCTATTATCTTTGCACTTTCATAGTGCTTTGAACCCAGTTTAGGGCTTAACTATTTGGGACCCTAACAGGTGCTACCACCTCAGGTCAGGGTGGATCTGGGAACACCAGCAATTAAGAGGTGGTTCCATGCTCCTCAAAACCTCCTGATGAGAGAGGCCTTGTTGTCAGATGTAATTTATTGTCTTACCCATGATGTGGATGTAGTTTATCGTCATACCCAGGACACCCATAAGCCTTGTACACTAGAATTACCTACAAGGTTTTCTCCTGCACCATGCAAATAAGTTTATTACCAAGGTGATAAAAATAATTACATTTTATATTTTCTTTGTATATATAATGCATGGTTATTCCTTTAAATCAGAAATAGTTAGGGTGTCTGTTGTATTTTATTATGTTTTCTATGGGGTTGTGTTGAAAGTCATATTGCTATACAAAGCTAGACCTAATAAATAATAACAGCAACAATAAAATATACTTAGGCACCTACTGTAACAATGGTTAAAAAACTTGTTTCACACACTAATTCAATAGTGTAGTGTATTTAACACTCGCATGGTGATACATATTTATGGCCTTGTGTCAGATTGTGCTAAACTCATTAAATAGGCAAGTTATCTCTTGACTAATTTGTTGTGTAATGGATTTGATATTCAATGAGAGCTGCAACTTGCCACCTTATATTGTCCTTGGTCAGCTTCACTAAAAGATTCTTTTTCTTTAAATGCTATGTCCCTTTAGGATATGACAATCACAGCTATCCACAGATTCTTTTTCTTTATTATCTGTTACTTGTTATGCTTTTTTGGGATAGAAAGTGAAGTGGTTTCCTGTTGCATTCTCCACAGTTTGGAATTCAGTGTTTTCCTTCTCTTAAACTAGTTTACACCCAAGGCTATAGAGTCCAGTCTACTTTAATATTTAACTCATAGCTAGTGGGAGTAAAAATGGATTCATGTCTTTGCCAAGGGAATTTGTGCAAAAATGAATACAACAAACTAGGCAGGAATTTGAACTTGGTTTGCCAATTCCAAGTCCCACACGGATAACAGTTATACTATCCACATATCTAACTAAAATATTAAATTAAAAGCAATAAATTCAAAATTAACTTACTTTATTTACATTTTTCTGACCTGAAATCTCTTTATCCTCAAATGCATCATAAAGTTTTCGTTTAACAGGGTTCTTAGTTTTAAGACGAGGTGATTTATTGGATGATTTCTTGCCAGTATTTCCTTTTGTCACCTTTTTATGGCCAGTTTCAGCTTTCTCACTGATGACTAAAGTTTTATCTTCCTGGAAGAAATATGGATCAGTGTTTTTCATTTCAGTTTTTCTTCTTGTGTTGCATAACTTAGGGCTGACATAGCCAATGATGTCACTCAAGTCTGATGGCTTGTTTCCATAGTGTTCCTGCAAGTCTGACCCAGATTTGTTAGGTGTATCATCCAACTTAGCATATGCCTGACCTTCTTTTTCCCCTTCCATCAAGATTTTATAACATTTTGCTGGAGATGCTGCACTCAATTCATAAAATGATTGCCCTTCTGTGGTCCCTGTTGGCTGTGATGCATCACCTCCTGAATCATCTTTGGTATGGCATTTACTTTGACTATAGCACAATGTTGAGAGGATATTGATGGCTAGGTATTCATTGTCCTTAATCAATGGATTAATAGTCCTTTGGTTGTTATCATTATCACACAAACTGCTTGCACTGACACCCTTGCTAAAATTTAAAGGTTGGTCATCAATGCAATCAGTTGAGTTTTGAACATGTTCTTTTGCAAAAGTCTCTTGCTTTGATACATGTAGATTGAGGGATGAATTCTCAATAACAGGTGAAGCATGACAATCAGTTATTTCAATTACCTGAGATGGTGGTGGTGGTGGTGATGATGATGTAATTTGTTTAAGACTCTCTTTAGTCTCCATGTGTATCTTTTTCAAAAAATCTTCTTTTTTACCAAGAGATGTTGCAATGTAAAGAATTGGCTCCTCATCATTCTGTGTGCCAATGTGAAATTGCTTTGTTTCTGTTTTTCCAGTTAGATAGCTATTATTTTGATGACCACTTGTCAGGGTTTCACATCTGTTTTCACCTGAGTTCTCTGTGGTTATTTTTGGTGCAGACGTTTTGTTTTTGTGTGCCCTCTTGCTGGATAGTATATTAGGCTTATTCCCAGCTTTTGGCATGGCCAATTTGTCCATACAATTTAGGACATGACTGGTGACTGCTGATGTACCTATAAAAGCGGCCAGCTGATCTTTTACCTGTTCAGACGTTAGCTCATAACTCACCAACTGATGCTGGTGGGGTTTCATCAGGTTTAGGATAATCACCTTTGTACCAGGTACCATTTCAATTGTCCAAGAATTATCAGTAGAACCTGCCAATGTCACTTTTTCCTTTAACTGAAACAGTGAATCTGAAAGCAAACAAAAAAAAGCAAATATTTATTATTAAAACAAACAGAACCATTTATAGACTGCTATATTTTACAACAGAAAATACTATATTTATTATTTAGATTAAATATTTATGATAACAATTTTGATTTGTTTTTCACACAATATTTTAAAATAAAAAAATAGTAGTAATCATGGCTCCCCAGATTTTTTCTTTATTATCTGTGAATTTGCTATGTCTTTTGGGAAAAGACAATGGAGTAATTTCCTGTTCCGTTCTCCACAGTTTGGGATTTAGTGTTTTTCTTCTCTTAAACTACTTTTCACCCAATGCTAAAGTGTCCAATCTACTTTACTATTTAACCCATAGCTAGTGGGAGTAAAGATGGATTTATGCTTCTGTCAAGGGCATTTGTGCAAAAATGAATGCTAGAATTTGAACTTGTTTTGCCAATTCCAAGTCTCACACAGATAACAGTTACACTACATACGTAGCTAACTAAAAGGTTAATACCACTTACATCCTCAAGGACACATGGCACAGTGGATAAAGGCGTTGGTTGATCCAGTGACAGGACCCAAAAAGTGTGAGTTCAATACCCGATTAAGGCAGTGGAGAACTTTCAGAGGGAAATTAACAGGAGATAACTGATAACTGACATCCATTAAACATAGCACGTGGAACTAGAACAGTCTACCCCAGTGAGTGAAATAAAGGGTTAAGTTCAACATTCCAACCACCTGAAGAAGGCCAGAGCGTTCAACGGCTGAAATGTTGTAATACATATGGCGACAAGGATGAAGACAATAGTCCGAATAATGTAAGTGGTGTGCATGGTGCCTCATCTCAGAAATATAGACAGATACTAAAATATTAAATATTAAATTAATAAAGGCAATAAAAAATAATGATAGATAATATGAAATCTTTTAAAAATTCTTCTTCTGAGCAGTTAAATTAGTGTTCTGTATGAATAAAAGAAAGCACAAATAGATGGTCATCAATACATTCAGTTGAGTTTTGAACATGTTTTTTTGCAAAGGTCTCTTGCTTTAATAATGATTAGCAGTAGAGCCCGGCGCTACCCAGGGATGTAACAGTAAGAGATAGATCAAGTATCGACCATCATAAAGACTGAAAAATAAAATTGACAAAGATTATTGTTTAAGGTTGACAGACACGCATGTCTTAGTTAGTTTTTTTTTTTTTGGTCAAACCCAACCTCAAACAAAAACATTGTTTTCAATCGTTATGAGTCTACCGATTGAACAGAATTTTATTATAAACAATTGTCTTATAAATGGAATTTTTAAAGCATTCTGAATGTAAAAATAAGGAAAAAAGTGTGAAAGAAACACTACCTGCCAAAAAAAAAAAGCGAAGTTTTGTTGAAATCGGTTGAAAAATGTAGGAAATCCGATCCCATATATAAACACACACACACAAACAACCTGGGTTTTATAATAAGTATAACTCGATATGAGTTGTCTCCCTTTCATTCTTGCGATGCCTCTTAATCATGTTTTCAAATTGATTTCATGCAAAAACAATTGTGTTTTCCAATTTTTGGCGCTGTCAGAACCACTGCAAGGTAATTTTACGTAGTCCTGTGAAGTTTTGTTGAAATCAGTTGAAAAATGTAGGAAATCCGATCCAATATATAAACGTACAGACACACACACAAACAACCTGGGTTTTATAATAATTATGATACATTTAGATTGGGGGGTGAATTCTCAACAACAATAATTCAACAATGTCTTCAAATACCTTTTAGTGATGATAATTTTATTTCATAATCCTTGTATACTTATGAATACCTGTTAAAAAGCAGTGATTGGCAAAATGACTTTGGAATAAATCTATTGTGCCCATGTGCCAGACTAGGCTAAGTTTATTAACAATATAATAGTGAAAATCACAACTCTTGCCTTGTATCAGATTAGGCTATACATCATAAACATCTACAAATGTGCCTGCTGTAAAGTGATAAGAGAGTTAAGTCTTGCTAAACATTCGGTGCTAGAGAAGTGATCATAAAATATAAATACAGTAACACGCATAAGTATTGGATACATGTTATTTTCTGTTATAACTAGTTTATATTCGCCATTTTGCCTGATATTTGGTAAGTAATATCTCATAAAGTTGTTTTAGTTGTATGTGGAAGGAAAATTAAAAACTCATGGTTGAATCCATTTTAGCAAAGAAATGAATCTAGCACTAAGTACAGTAGAAAATATCATCAGAAAGTATAAGAAGTATGGCGACGGTACAGCAAACCTTCCAAGAAATGGAAGACCAAGAAAAATAAATGAGAGTACTTCAAGGTGGATCAGCAGAAATGTGCAAAAAACCCCCTTCATTACTCGTTCTGAAATTAAAACTGATCTTGAGGGTGCTGGAATTAATGTAAGTAAGGATACCATTAGCAGAGCTCTATATCGTACAGGCTTTCATTCAAGATTACCAAGGAAAGTGCCTTTACTGAAAACCAAACATGTCAAAGACCGATTAAAGTTTGTCAAAACTTATGAAAAGAAAGGTATGCAGTTTTGGAAAAAGGTAATCTGGTCGGATGAAATGAAAGTTGAACTATTCGGAAGGAACACAGCAACAAGTGTTTGGCAAAAAAATGGCACTGCCTTCAACACGCACAATACCATCCCCACAGTTAAGTTTGGGGGTGCTTCCATTATGATATGGCGATGCTTTTCATCCAAGGGCACTGGTGAGTTACAAGTTATCCATGGTAGAATGAATGGTAGCATGTACAGGGAGATTCTAGAGAAGAACCTTCAGAAATCTGCAACTTCTTTAGGACATGGTCGGAATTTCGTGCTTCAACACGAAAATGATCCCAAACATACCGCAAAACTTACAAAGGAATGGTTTGAAAATAATGGTATTAGTACTTTCAATTGGTCAAGTCAGTCTCCTGAATTGAATCCAATTGAGAATTTGTGGAATACTTTGAAGGTTAAAGTTCATAAGCGGAATCCACAAAATATCAAGCAATATAGAGGAATTATGCAAGGAAGAATGGGGTAAAGTAACGGTGGATCAGTGTGGAAAACTTGTGGCCAACTATAGAAAGCGACTGGAAGCAGTGAAACAAAACAGAGGCTATGCAACAAAATATTAAATTGATGTATCCAATACTTTTGCATAGGGTAATTTTGAACTTTGATAAAAAAAAAAAAATGGATTCAACCATGAGTTTTTAATTTTCCTTCCACATACAACTAAAACAACTTTACGAGATATTACTTACCAAATATCAGGCAAAATGGCGAACATAAACTAGAGTTATAACAGAAAATAACATGTATCCAATACTTATGCATGTCACTGTATATATAGTTTTAAGGAATGCTATATTTATGGGTAAAAGTGCTCAATATCAGAGATAGATCATGTCAACACCAAGTGATGAGTGTTTCATGCTTCAATGCAATCATCAGGCCAGGTTTGAAGATTGCATTGAAGCATGAAATGCACCATCACCACTTAGTATTTACCTCAGTCTCCACTTATATATATATATATATATATATATGTGTGTGTGTGTGTGTGTGTGTGTGTGCATAAGGAGATATTTATAAACCATGGATTAACCTCTCAAAATAACTCAGTAAGGATCAAATTCAATTACAAGTTCACTAAGCCCATCTTTCTAATCATTTCTATGCCAGTCATTCTCATATAATGTAATTCTCCATGTATAATACACATTTTTTTCTAAAAAATAATAAGCAAAATTAGGGGGGTGTATTATGCACAGCTACAAAAAAAAAATCTTCAAAAAATTGCCATTTCATAGGTTGATTTCAGTTGCAAAATGACTACTCACCACAAACATATGACAATATGACACTAACATTTGGCACTTGCCATAAGAATGTCAAAATACAATCATATGTACCTAACAATACTTACAAATATAAAATAAAATAAGAATTATCATAAAACTAAATTAGAATAATATTATTCTATGTTTAAAACCATTTTTTGTGAAAAACTACATACAGATCCGATAGATTGGACATTTTATCAAACAAAAACAGGTTAATGAGTCTGCGCAGTAGGCACAATATAGGTATTTCCGTTTCCTTTTAGAATTGTGATGATCAGAAATTTTAATAAATATCTTCAATTACAGATTGAATAAGAGTAGGAAACACTGGCCATAATGAAGTTGGAGAGGTACAATTTATAGGGTTTGATTACCAAACAAGAGCATTTAGTGTTAAATAACTTCATAAAAAAGTCACTTTTGATTGTCTGGTAACAGCTGTCATATCCGAATGTTAATTTTTAATAAAAAATTGTGAAAACTGGTATATTTCTTTAAGGAGTCCTAATATTGAAGATGGAAGGAAATAAGCAACAGTTTCAGCATGTTTTGTTTTTTAACTTTAAAAAATAAAAAAATCATATGCAAAAACACAAAATAATGAAGACAATTTGTACAGTTACTATAAATAATTAAACATATCAAAAGTGGTTTGCCAAATTTTTCCTAGAGTTTTCTTACTGAACAACAGTTGAGATTGTTAGCAATGAAATAATGACATTACTTGAGAATAATCAATGTTATATGAAACTGAAGAAAAATATTCGAAACAAGCATTGAAAATCATTTGTGTCAGTTTGGTGGCTTCTAAGTTGAGCCTTCTCTCCCCCCACAAGAAAAAAAACTCGTAGGCCATATTTCTATAGGAATTTGCTATTTAAACATAACAAAAATGTTCTATTTTTGAAAAGTAGGTACATTATAATGAAATGCAAGAGTTTATGCATCAAGAAAAGGAACAAGCACTATTCATACTAAAGACAAATTTTGAAAGGTGAAACTATATATAGGATAAGATTGGACTTTTGTTATGAGCTCTTTCTAAAGAAGCAAACATTTCAAACAAATAATGTTGCCAATTAGATCAAATGAAGACAGCAATAGACAAATGGCATTTGGAATTATTTAAAAGAAAGAGTGAAATATTTATTCTATTAGACAAACAGCATTTCTTTAATTACCAAACAAAAACTGTTTCAGATTAATTCTTCAGATATTACACATTTGGATTACCTTTTATTCCAATCTTTACAGAATTCTCTTAATTAAAAAAATCTTTGAAAATCTTTAACATGCATCTCAAATAGTTCTTTGCCAAGAAAGTTCATTTCTGGAAAGATGGAATTATGAATTTTCCAGAAAGACGAGAGAGCAGAACAAAAAGGTTAATATATTTTTCAATAAAATTAATGGTGAAAAAAAAAAATAACTAGCCCTATATTTTTATTTAATAAACCCAAATTTTGGCCAGTGTATGTCATAAAATAATTGATAAATACACTGAGAAATGACAAGAAAAAAGACAACCATTTGGTTCTTCTTGCAAATCCATAAAGGTAGATTACATGAAATTTTGAAATCAAATTCTATCACTTACCAATATTAACAAGATCACATGTGTAATACAAGGTACTCGAATCTCTATTAGGAGCAATATTATATAATTTTGGTTGTGATGGTTTCTGCATCAATGGATCTTTCTTAGGCCGACCTCGAGGTCTCTTTGGTTTTCCATTTTTTTTCTGAAAGTTCTGCTGAACTGCACTTTGTTCACAAACAGTTTGCAAAGATGTAGAATCCTGCAATGTCAGTGTTGTTTTATTTGCAGTCCAAGGCCACTGAATGTTTGTACAGGCAAAATTAGACAGAGCCTCTATAGTTGATGTTTGGGTTGGTTGAAGTTGCAGGGGCATATTGGGAGGAGGTGCAATAATATACATCACAGGATATTTAGACTGAGATGCTTGTATTTCAGGTTGAATGACTTGAGTTATCACCGAGCTCGATTCAGAAATAGAAGCCAAAGCTATTTTTTTTGGTTGTTGTGATTGCGTAGACAATATAGGCTGTTGCACCAACAAAGAAGAGTTAGTATTTTCCTGTAATAATGAAGGAACAGGGGTTGTTGTTGTTGTTGTTGTTGTTATGGTGTGTGACAGAGAGGCACTTGTGGTAATAGGTGTGTATTCTAAAGGTACATCAGATGAAATTGTCACTGAATTAGTTTCTGCAATAGTCAGGGTATTTCTGGAGGAACCACTTTCTAAATTTGTTGGGGATGTATTTGAGAGTGTGGTATTAATAGAGTGATCAATGTTTGGTGATATAGGAATAATGACATCATATGAAGTACTAGCAATTTCATTTGTTGATTCTGAAGCCAAAGTGTTGATATTAGAATGAGTATCACAAGCAAGAGATGTAGTAATGGATTGTGATGTGTGACTATGTGTATCAGACGGCATAACATTGGTTGAAGGGGATGATATCGGAGTGAAAGAAGAAAGAGAAACAGGAGAATTAGGTGGTATTGAAGGAGGATTTTTGTTTGGGGATTTTGAAACAGTTGTTGCAATCAGCTTTCTGCTTTTTCCCTTAGAAAACACCTTTGTACGCCTACTGCATGAACTTGGTTGCTTAACCCTTGTAGAGTCTTTGGTTTCAGAACCCATCTGATCTTGTTTTGAGTTGTCCGAAGAGTTTATATTCTCAGATATTTGAAGATTTTTAACAAAGGGTTCTGAAGACAAAAGCATTTTAGGTGTAGGGTTTTCTGGGGTTTGTTCTTGATCTTGAGTTGTGTTAAACGATTTGAGTGATAGGTCCTCACTAGCTTGATTTGATGAAGTGTCTGTGGAAGCCTCACTTGAACACAGTTTGTCAACCACTTGAAGGAATGTTGTTGGATGTTTGTTCAATGAACTTAGCTCACAAGTATTTTCTTAAAAAAAGAAAATTAAACAAATTAAAATAACAACATATTACAGAAATATTATTTGATCAGGATTTTCATTAAAACATTTCAAAAGTATAAAAAGAGTTTAATGACTAATTCATTTTCTGCAGGTTATTTAAAGCCAGAAAATATTATCAGATTGCAAGAGGTTTTTTTAAGATAATAATGATTTAGTGATACAAGTTTCACTAGTTAACCCATAGCATGGAGAGAAGAGGTGGATTCATAACTTTTCCAAGGGTATTTGTGTGTAAGTGAATATAACAAATCCAACTGGAATTGGAACTCAGCTCTCTGATTAACAATTCTGAGCCATTATCCATTACACCACCCACACATAAAATCTTACATCTGCTATTCCCAAATGGTCACCCATCTAGGTACTGATCAGGCTCAATGTTGCTTAACTTTGGTGATCATATGGGAACCAATGTTTCAACATGATGTGGCTATAAGCCATATAAAAATGATTTTACATTAATAGAAAAGCATGCATTTCATAAGTAGAAGTAACCATTTATTGTGACTTCTTCAAAAACCAGCTGCTCCCATTACAGTCTTTGAGATTGCATATAAACTGAAAATGGCACTGATAGGGTTCTTACTAGAATTGTGCTGTCCAATTTTTTTTTTTAAATGTCATGCCCCCTCAGGACACAGGCAATCATGGCTCTACACAGATTTCTTTTCTTTATTATATTTAAATTGTCATGAATTCTTGGCAAAGATAGAAGAGTAGTTTCCCACTGTCTTCGCCATTGTTTTGAATTCATTACCCAAGACTAGATAGTCCAGTCTATCCTGTTTTTTAACCAATGGTTGAGAAGAGAAAAGATAGTCACACCTTTCCCAAGGGCATAGTACAAAATAAATGCAGTAGACTAGTTCAAAATTCAAACTCAGCTCACCAGCTGCTATGCTACCCACATTTATATCCATAAATTTGAAATACCAACCAAAATAAAATTTATTCCTTTTGTCTAATAATTGGTTTGAGAGCAGTCAATCATTTTGTTATTTCCTTGAGCTCCCAAAAATCAATATGATTCCTGAAAATGCAACTTATACTGCTTGAACAATATATGTGAAAAGAGCTGTGGTAATCATGGTGGTAGTTGTATAAACTTTTTATATTATAAAGCATAAGAGAATATAATAATAAAAATAAGAGTTTTCAAAGTTATCTAGCTTAGAAGTAATAATAACCAAGCTAGGCCAGCAGAACATTAGCTAATGAGTTATATGGGAACATCACTATCGTAGCCTTGTAACAAACTAAGTGTTATGACATAGTAAATTGTATCAGTGGTATTCTCTTAGTAAGACTGCTAATATAATGTTTAGTTTTTTTTCTATTCTTTTGAAAATGATATTTCTTCATATATGCAACCTAGGCAATGTAAATACATCACTACATCTCCCAGAAAGAATTCTTTTTTTACCCCTTGTAGATCTTGTACTTATCTATACATTGTTTCACTTTCAGGACTTCTATCTTTTTTTTTTATTGCCATTATTTGATCTGCATGGGCTAAAAAACTGTTCCCATTTTTTGCTATAATGGCCATGTTGTTGCCTTTTTGTATTATAAACTTAGCCCTTTCCAGATCCAACTCCTTATACTTTTTATATCACACTAAGCTTATTTCAAGAGTTGTTTACACAAATAAACTCATTTTTTATGTTGATTTTGTCAATGCCATGTCATTTCAGCTGTTCTATTCTATAGCCATCCTCTATTCTACAATATATAAGAAAAGACTAGGATCTCTTTTTTTTATAAAAATTAGTGGCAAACAGAAACAAATAGAAACTGATATGCCACTGGCTTGGCTCATTCCCAACAATGTGAAACACACCACCAAAACCATTCACAACAATTTGTGTAACACAGGTGATTCCATCTTATACTTAAGGATGCTTTCTAATTTCCACCCTGCAGAATAAAGAAATAAACACTTATTTATTAATCTTTATAATTTCCCCATTCTCTAGCAATATCCCTTATCTATTGTTTGGACTTCATCCCATAAAGTGTAATGTAAACCCTCCTCTCTCAAAATATGGTATGCTAAATCAAAAATTTCTATTTCTCCTTTGGATATGACTTTCTCAAGTTCAAGTCTGACTTAAGTGGAAAAGCTGGTTTCTCTTTTATAGCCAGCATCTTAAACTAAGCCTAAATATCTATAGGTTATTGGGGCTTGCCCTAGTAGTCATATATTTTATACCAACATGAGTGGACAGCGTTCAAGTCTAAGTAAAAAGCTAGTATTTTAAATGCTGATTTTGAATGTGGGCAGGTATACCCCTTTCCATTTGGTGTAATACAAATTACCTTCCTGCTCACTCATATGGGCATATATCAGACTAGGCTAAGCTTCATAAATATCTAAAAATATTATATTACTACTGGAGTTACTTTAATAGCATAATTTCTAAGATAGTATGCCTGTACCAATGATAGAAAGACAGGAGGCTAATCAGTCACAAGACAACCAAAATGTTAAACATAACATTGACAAATTTTGCAGTACTAAAATTATTTAGACAAAAGTAATTTGGGTTTACACAAAAACTATGAAATAATCATTGTTTGTCACAGCCATGGTCTTTCATAATGAAACGACTTTTTGCTAAGACTTACGATTTGTCTTGAGATCAGATTTAGAAAGGTCATCTTCTGAGGTCACCAGTTTTATTTCTTTGTTCTGACCTGACTGGGAACAGGAATCTAGTCCTTCAAATTCTACACCATCATAGACTGGCTCAGTACACTCGTCGTCAGAAAGAGTATCTTTCTCCTCAGAAACTGCAAAACGCAAGAAATAGACAAGACTGTTGTTGTTGGGGAAAAAAGAAGAGGAAGGTGATAACAATCAGAACATGAAAAAGGAGAGGAAGGAATTAATAAAAACATCATTTTTTACAGTTTTTTTAAGTTATTTTCATTTTGAACAAGATAATTAAGATAGAAAGTAATCCGGCCTGTTACTCACAGAATGCCACTCCTTGCTTTATTATTCAATATACTTTTCATTTTCCACACATTTATTGTTGTTTTTTACTAATATCTTCATCTTTTTTTATATTTGTTCATTTACCACATTTTTAACTGATATAGTTTTCAGCCTTCAAGTTAAAATGTAGTATGTGCTGAATCTATAGATGCCCTTGAAGCATAGGCTCACAGACAAACCACACTAGGTGGTACCAATGAGGTTTCAGTAGGTTTTACAGCATGGAATTGCTAGCTACACACCCAACTGGTTTGGAACTTACAGTTGTCCTGCTCCTAGACTAACTAACAGCCAAAGATAAGAACCCAGTCTGCACAACTATTTAGTCTATAGCTCAAAAATAGATGAGTTCATTTGTATAAAAAAGTGAATGCAACAGCCTTGACCAGAATTTGATCTTAACCCACTAATCTGCACTAGGTGCTCCACACTTGTAGCCTTGTGCCATATCTAAGCTATGCTTAGAAAATCACTGCAACCCACTAATCTGACCTTTTGCACCAATAACCACTACACTACATAGGGATGTGTGGTATGGAATGCCAGATCAAATTCAAAACTACTTATGTTTTCTAAATTCTTGTAATTTAACTTGAAGGCTAAATGGAAATACATATTCTAAAACAGTATATAATGTATTCCAAAAGTGTTGTGATAAAAGAGAAAAAAATAGGAAAATGATGCTCATCAAAAAATATGCAGACAAGGATTTAGAGACTCACTAAACCAAATAATCATGAGGAAAAAGTTAAAAGAATCAATAGAGAAATCTCTGAAGAAACTTACCAGAAGCAAATAATTTAAGAAGATCATCAAGGACAGGAATTCCAGCAGAACTGGTTTGATGAATAACCTCATCAATATCACTCTTGGTCATATGGAAATCCTGACATGTAAAACATTTTATTAAAACTATAGAAAATTATAGAAACAATGCAATGTTTTAAAAAGACTTGAGAAATTAGTACAAACAATAAAGAACAGAACCAATAAAAGGTATTCTAAATAATTCTGTGGGGTATAAACAGTAGAAAGTGTTATCTACAATGGGGTGTGGTATAAGTAACAGAAATGGTATAAATAATATGGTAAAGTATAAACAGTAGAAAGGGGTATAAACAATGGTTAGTGAAAGAATCGCTACAAAGTGGTATAATCTATGGGGTGGGGTATAAACATTAGAATGTGGATATAAGTGTAGGAAGAAGTCAAACAATATGAACAGATAAAAAATAGGGAGGTGAGTGACCAGTAGGGAAAGAGAACAAGCATAGAATTTTTTCAATCTGATGCCAAAGTTGCACTAACAATCTAAATTTATTACATCAAAAAAAAAAAAAAAAAAAAACACTTTTCAATAACAATTAATTTTTACAATACAAATGATATTTGGCATGACATCAACTTTCAAATAATAAACAATGCCACTCAAAAAAAATATACATTGTTAATATCTTAAGGTGCATGTGACGAGACATTGAAAAATAAACAAACTTTGCAACATTTTCTTTATTCATAAAATATTGATGCAGAGATTATTATTTTCATATTTTTAACACATTCAACACTAAAGGACATTAATTAACATTTTTTAACAACTTTAAATAATGCTCCCTTCTTGAAATTCACACCATGTCTTCATTTTTTTCATTCTGCACACTTGATATTACCTACTTTGTGCTAGTGCTATTTAATCTATTAGATCTCCATTATTCTATTTGTAGATGACACATATTAGTGAAAAAAAACTGTTAGTGCTGATGGTGTTAAGTAGGAGAAATAAAAAGTATAGCAAAAAGAACAGACATAATTAAAAGTGGCAAAAATGGAAAACAACTACAGTAGTTTGTAATTTGAAAAAATGAGAAAAATTTTTTTACTTTCCTTGACTGAGTACTAATGAATGAAAAGTGACAACCGTTTAGCTCATTTTGATGCTCTCTTTTATTATTTTTTCCTCTCTTTTTCACATTACTAACAACTGTAGTTGTTTTCCATTTTTTGTCTCTTTTAATTATGCTTGTTTTTGCTATAATTTAAATTTTGGACCTCTAATAATATCCATATCTCACTCTCTGATGAAGCTTTAATAAAATTCAAACATGTTAGATTGATAAACATTTCCTATTTGTTATCTTATTCTGTTGAATTCAAATCTATATTTGATCACAAGTTACCTCCAATGAGATATTCAAATAAAAAGTAATCTGTTTTCTATTCAATGAAATAATCATACCTAAATTATGTAAATTCTGTGTTTGTTACTGATAAAGTTAACTTGAAAAAATTCTGAACATTATTTTGGTTAAATTACTACAACTATGCTTGTTAACATATTTAACATTGGAAAATATGGTAACTTTGTAATAAAATAAACACTGCATTTTCAAGACTGAATATCACAATAGTTCATAAGCTCATGCCGAACTACAACAAAAAGACTTATTTCTAAAATTTACCTGAAGAAATTAGGAAGATAGAATTTTATTTTATAAAGGGGTACTGAACAGTTTTTAGTCTAATCTACTTCCCAAAATCTGATGAAATGACCAACCATTATTGGAATCTTTTTTTTCATCAGTCAGAACTTTTCAGCACACCCTCATATTTAGCGCTTATTTATCAACCATATATCAAGAATATTTCTTTCATTTTTATATTAAAAAAAAAAAAATTGTTTACTCACGGTCAGCATGATTTCATCCATTAGTTTATCACATTCTACCTTCTGTCCCTCTTCCACATTTTTATTATCACTGCTTCTTGCTGTATTCTCACTTTTGGCCTCACCGTATAACTTTCGATTGATAGTCTTAGCCAGAACTTCAGGTAGGCTGGTTTCAGTGATGACTTTCTCAACAAAAGTCTTAAAAAAAAAAAAAAAAAAAAATGGTAACCAAGGATTCATATTCCAATATTGAAATTCCATGAAAAGTTATTAAAATCTTTGTCATTTTTGCTATTCTAAAATATATGTGTTTGATGCTCAAAAGTCTCATGTAGGTTGTATTTTTAACACATGAGAGGAATGTGTGAAAGTTTCATGAAGCTGTGATGTGTATATCCCTAGTATGTGATTCATGCCAAGAAATACCAAAGGTCTAAATTAAATTTAGTGTCCATCAGGAACCTTTGATCTAAGAGGAGTTGATCTGAGGTGACCCCAGTATGGATTGGGATCAATCCAAGAAATACCAAAGTATGTTTGTGTCACATCAGAACATCAAAAGACCTAGGAGACCTGATGGCTGATCTCATAGCCACCACTAACATAAGTGAATCCTGTTGAAGTTAGGATATACACACAAGACAACCAAATAAAAGGAAGTTATATAAAAGCCTAACCTCCTAAAAGTGGAGAGAAATAATTCTTTATATCCTTGCAAAAAGACTGAATGTTGAAAAAAAATAAAAATAAAACCAACACAACCAATCCTTCATTTAACTAACATCAATTTCATGGACTCCAGAATTAAATAAACAAGTATTTTATGTATGAAAAATGTAGACTTGATTTCTTATCAGACATTACTAACATAACCTATGTGTAGTTGCAAAAGACTAACCAGATAAGTTAAATATAGATTTGAATGACTGGCAAATTTTCACAAAAATTTAAATATCTGGGAAGTGTTCTAACAAATGATGGAAAATGCAACACTGAAGATGCATTAGGATAGCCAAAGATGCATTCCAAGAAATAGAAAAACTAGAAACAAAGAAAAGAGTACTGAATTGTTACATGATATCAGTCCTACTGCATGGCAGTGAATGCTGGAATGTTCAGTTCATAATTTTCTGTAGGTTACTTATATTGATATACACTTGAGGAAAGCCAGAGAGGACAACCAGAACATTGTGATAACAACAACAAAGATGAGGACAATAGCCCAAATATAAATAATGATAACTTAGGTACTTCCACGAGAGTGCTAAAAAAAGAGCATAACATGATGAAAACAAAATTTTATCATCTAAATGTTTATGTTATTAAGAGGAAAGATCAAAGTATTTTGGGGGTATTTTTTACATTTTTTTAATCATTCCTAGCATGTCCAAAATTTTCATTAAAAATCTTGTTTTTTTTTTGAGTCAGCAAAATTGACAGATAATCGATCATGGCAACCATTTTTTTCCATTTTATAAAAAAATGAAAATCTCAGTTTGAAATTCTTTTAAAAATCAATTATAATTTTTTCAAAACTTACTTTAAGAAAATCAGAAATTATCATGTTTATTTAAAATATTTTGAACCAATCTTAAGTTAGTTTCTGTGCCAAAAGGATATAATTTGAAAATAAAACAAAGCAGGTTATAAACTTTCACCTCACTTAACAGGTGATGAATGACATATTCATGGATTATGTGAGTATAATTTGTTCTACGGAAGGAGAAAAGTGAAATTATTTAGATTTAAGTGAACAAATTATTTACCTTGTTATTTTTAAGAAAAACTTTCAGCACTCTAATTTTTGGGGTTTTTTTTATACTTAGCTTCCACCTTTACGTTTAGGATGCTTTATGGAAAATATATTATAAAGAAATTAAAATAAGACTGTTAAGAGTGAGATTAAATTTCATAAGAAAGGTATCTAATTAATTTATAGATAACTTTATTATGAAATTTTATCAGAAGTGTACATAAAACACTATAATTTTATGTACATTTATTACATTTTACTGTGTTATTTGTATTTCCATTCATTTTACTATTAATTTTGATATTTCATTTATGGAAAAATGTCATAACTGAGATTAATATAAAAATAAGATCATATAAATTTCATAAGATGATACTGATACTTGTAGGTACCCTTCTCAGTTGAAATTGAAAAATCAAATTAACTTCTCCACATGTGTTTCGCAAAAGTAAAGGCCTTAACAGCAGGCCTTAATGCTTAACTCAAATAATGCAACTTAATTGTATTCTGGTTGGTCTTCCGTACTTTATAATTACAGCCCAATTATAAGCCCAAAATTACATTTCTTAATTACTGTGGGTCTTCTGATTAGTCAAAACGATACAATTTACAACATGCTAAAAAAAAGATCTATCTCATAAGGGCACTTACAAAAGTGGATGCGGCTTTTAATTAATTTTATAATATTTTAACAACTTAAATGTAAAAATCTATTATAATTAATGAAATAACAAATAATTGTTTTAAAAATTCATTTTTCATCCAAAAAATTTTTTGCTTTCAGAAAATATTGTCCATATTCATAAAAACAACTAAAAGCAAATAAAAGTATTTGAAATTAAACAATGTCTTTGTTTATTGAGTTTTGTATGTTACAATTGAGAGCTGATTTTCAGGTGGGGGGGGGGTCCGATTAAAAACAAAAAAAATATGATTTGCATTCCTGAAAGCCATGTCTTTAAACTATTGTAATTACTAAAGTGGACTCAATCGATTTTCTAGAGATTTCATAAATTAGTTGTGGGGGTGGGGGGTAATAAATATAAAGAAAAAATATTTCTGCCATGACTTTAATAAAAAAAAACATATTTATAATAATTTTGATTATCTGTGAATAGTTTCTGAAAGTTTCATTAACATCCGACAATTATTTCTATTTTTGCAAGATTTTTCAAATTAATGTGTGTCATACAAAAAAAAACGTCCTAAAAATTGTATGTGTTATTTTACTAGTTCCGGTGATAAAAAGAGAAATCAGGATTTTTAAATCAAAATTCAGAATGTTCTAAAAAGAAGGAAAAATTTTAAAAAATAATTAAAATAAACTTTGATCTTTCCTCTTAATAATAACAAACATTTAGACAATAAAATTTTGTTTTTGTCAAGTTTGGCGTCTTTTTCATCATGTTATGCTCTTTTATTAGCGATCTCATGGAGGTACCTATAAATCCTCATCCCAGAAATTCAGACAGAAATATAATTTTTTTTATTTTAAATTTTCTATTGGTCTGTAATATTTTTCAAATTTTACTTAGGACTAAAAACATATTTCCTCTACATTCTTCTAACTGCATTATTCCTGACTTTAAAAGAAATCACTTTGTTATTACCTTGGCAATGTCAAAGGTGTCATAGAGTTTTAAGTAGAAGATTATACTTACTGGAATTGGATCTTTTAAATGACAACTATCTTGGCTGTTTCCACTTTCGCAACGTACTTGGGAAGGTCCAGGCACAGCAATATCTACAAAACGTTTCTCTGGGGGAAACCTGCAAAATTAAAATAAAAAGCAGAACCTAACCATTAGGCTAATCATTCACAAGGGAAAAATATAGATATTGTTGTGTCGGAAACCTACCAGCCCTCTTGAAGATGAACTTGTCTGCGTCTGTGAACAAAGACTTTAAATAGTGGCATGTCAGTTGACATGGAAAAAGACAGATAGACAGAGAAGTTCTTAGCTGAGCTAGTTATTGACTACTCAGGCGATTTCTGTACCTTTTTACCAACCTATTAAAACCCTTTTTATTGTTACGTGTTATTTGGCGTTTGTCTCTACTAACCCCAAATCAACATCATAACAGTGGCGACGAGAGATTTGTTCATCACGCTGAGTGGAGAATTTTTCAACTCTAGGTGGACTATATAAATTTTTTTTTTTTCCACGCTCTGAAAAAAAAAAAAAAAAAAAAAAATGTCGAACTTTGTTCTTCACGAAGAAATGGGATTTCAACATGCCAAAAAGAAGTAAGACTTGTGCTTATTGTGGATATATACGTGTTTTTCCCTTTTTGTTTGTTTTCGAAAAGTGTTTTGTGTAATCTATTATGCATAATGGAAGATTTGATTGCATTAACGAAAACTCTAGTGCAAAGTCAAATTCAGCAACAAGAGCAACAAAAATTTTTTTAGGGAACAACTATTGGATTTACAAGTTCAGCAGCGAAATGACACAAAGGCTTTATATGAAGCGATTTTACTTAAGAATCCAGTAAATTCGTCATTCACGGCCGAAGGTATTGCTAATTCTATTACCGAGTTCAAATTTAACCCAGAGGAGGGCATAACATTTCCTCGTATTTCAGAAGATTTGAAACAATATTTGAAAAAAATGTGAAGGTTGGACTGATGAACAAAAAGTGAGTTTACTTTTTACAAAAGTTGGGTACAGATGAAAATAATAAGTATACGAATTTTGTCCTTCCAAGAAAAACTGGTGACATTTCTTTCAAGAAACTGTTAATACTTTATCTAGTATTTTTTTGAGCTTAGTTAGTTTTTGTTTCATACTCGTTTCTCGTGTTTGAATATGGTAAAGCGTGACGATGAGGATGTTGTTACGTATGCTGGAAATGTTAACAGAATGTGTGAACGTTTTATGTTACATGATCTTTCAACTGATCGATTTAAATGTTTGATATTCGTTCAAGGCTTGACTTCTAGCAAAGATAAGGACATAAGGTCCCGAATATTGGCAAAACTCGAACAAAATTCGAGATCACTTTGCAGAAGGTTACGGAAGAGTGTCAAAGAATTGAAAACTTAAAACATGACAATACGCAAATTGAAGAAAAAGACGTATCCCATGTCCATGCTATTTCGACCAAAAACTGGAATAGTTAATAATAACGTTAAAAAAACCAACATGCTTTGGATGCGGTGGTGGTCATTTTAAAAGTGAATGTTTTTTTTTTTTTACATGACAAAATTGCTATTTGTGTGGCAATAAAGGCCATATAAGTACTCATTGTAAAAAGCAAAAGAAAAAAAAATTTAAGTCGAAAAAAAAAGATAATGTGAATATTGTGTTGTCAAGTCAGGAGATTCAGGAGGGGCAGAAAAGAAAATTTGTACAGGTAAAAATTATTGGAAAAAATGTTAAACTACAGCTAGATACTGGAAGTGATATTTCAATTATTAATACAGCAACATGGATTAAAATAGGCAGACCTTTGCTTAAAAAGACTGAAAAAAAAAGTGGCCATGGGATTTCTGGAAGAAAATTGCATTTTCAAGGTGAATTTTTCTTGTAATATTTCATTTGTTGGTAAGACACTAAAGTCTAAAGTGTATGTGCTACAAAATGCTTCAAATTTGTTTGGAACAGATTGGATTATACTTTTTTTAATATATGGGAACTCCCTATAAATTCTTTTTTTGCAATAGAATTAATGTTTCTTCTCCATGTAAAAATTGGGTTACAGAAAATTTGGTGAAAGATCTGAAAATAAAATTTCCACAAGTATTTTCAGGTCTTGGATGTTGCAAAAAAAACAAAGGCAAAATTTGAAGTGAAGGAAAATGTAAAACCTATTTTCAAGCGAAAAAGAAATGTGCCATTTGGTGTTTTGGAACAGATTAACAAAGAATTGGAACGGCTTGAAAATTTAGGAGTTATTTCACGCATTGAATTTTCAGAGTAGGCCTGCCCTGTTGTATATGTTAAGAAAAAGAATAATAAAATTCGGATGTGTGCCGATTTCTCTACGGGTCTAAATGATTGCTTAAAAGACCACACATCCTTTGCCTTCACCAGAAGACATTTTTGCAAGTTTAAATGGAGGAAAAATATTCTCTAAATTGGATTTATCGGATGCCTATCTCCAAGTGAAAGTGGACGAAGAATGTTCTAAATTGTTGTTTATACAAATTAAACCGTCTGCCTTTTGGTTTAAAAGTATCCCCTAGTATTTTTCAGCAAATTATGGACACTGTACTGGCAGGGTTGGACTTCGCCATTGCATATCTTGATGATATTTTGATAAAAAGTAAAGATCGAAATGAACATTTGGAAAATATTAATCAGGTTTTTGAAAAAATTGAAGAATATGGATTCAAACTTGGAGCTGAAAAATGTGAATTTTTTATGAGTGAAATAAAGTTTTTGGGGCAGATAATAGACTCTGATGGAAGAAGACCAGATCCGGCGAGGGCAGAAGCGATCAAAAGCATGCCAACTCCCAAAAATGTAGTAACGCTACAAGCGTTCTTAGGACTTGCTAACTATTATGGGATATATATTCCTAGTTTGTGCAGCCTTACGGCTCGATTAAATAAATTGCTCAAAAAGGGAGCAAAGTGGGAATGGTCAGAAGTGTGTCAGAAGGCGTTTGACAAAATAAAGAATATTTTGACGTCGGAATTATCACTGACACATTATGACCCTAAACAGGAAATTATAGTGGCATCGGACGCAAGCGAGTACGGAATAAGTGCGGTAATTCTGCATAAATTCAGAGACGGCAATATGAAGCCAGTGGCACATGCATCAAGGACATTATTACCCGCAGAAAAGAAGTACTCTCAAATTGAGAAAGAAAGCTTAGCTATCATCTATGCTTGTAAAAAATTCCATAAGTACATACATGGAAGAAGGTTTATATTGCAGACCGACCATCGCCCGCTGCTTTCAATCTATGGTTCAAAGAAGGGTATACCTACTCATACGGCAAACCGTTTGCAACGATGGGGAACCATTTTGTTGAATTACAATTTCAAAATGGAATTTTTATCATCTAAAAAATTAAGCCATGCTGATGGTTTATCTAGACTGATCCCAACGTCTTGAACCGCTAGAAGATACGGTGATAAGCGTTGTTACAAGCAGAAAATGAATTGGTTGAAATAATGTATAACACAGTAAAAGAATTACCGGTGACATTAGATGAAATAAAATTAAAAGCAGAAAACGACATTTTTATTAGAAAAATGAAAGAAGTTGTAACTTCAGAAAAGTATAAAACTTCTTCACCAGCATATTCAATATGTGATGAAGTGCTGTTATATGCTGGAAGGGTCATGATACCGGTTGTACTACAAAAGTGGATTTTGAAGGAATTTTATCAGGGGCATCCTGGTATTGGACGTATGAAAGCCCTGATGAGGAGTTATATTTATTGGCCAAATATGGACAAAGACATTGAACAGGTAGTTAAAACTTGTAGAGGGTGTTAAATGGCAGCGAAAGCACCACCAGTAAAATACACACCATGGCCAAAAACAGATGTTCCATGAACCAGACTCCACATAGATTATGCTGGACCCATGAATGGTAATTTCTACTTGATAGTTGTGGATAGCTATTCCAAGTGGCCTGAAATTTTTAAGTGCAAAAGACCAACTGCTTCTGTAACAAAAGATTTTCTTACAGAACTGTTTGCACATTTTGGAGTACCAGAAAAAATTGTCACCGACAATGGAACTCAATTCACGTGAATTTAAGACGTTTTGTAAGACTCTGGGAATTGACCATCACGACTTCAACCGTACCATCCTAGGTCAAATGGACAGGCTGAACGGTTTGTTGATACGTTCAAGAGAGCCCTTAAAAAAACAAATGGTACTAATACAGATGATGGTAATATACAGCAGTTTTTAAGTATATACAGAATAACACCAAATCCAAACGCAATATCAGGGATGCCTCAGCTGAACTGATGTTTGCTAGAAAAATTAGATCTGTATTCAATAGGCTGTTGCCGGAAAGAAAAAAGAGTTACCAGAACAAAACGCACCAGGAAAATGTGAAATATCTCAGGCCGGGAGATAAAGTTTTTTTTAAAAATTACAAAAATGGGAAGGAATTTTGGTAAGATGGAGTGGTAACTCAAAGAATTGGTAAGATGTTATACATGATAAGAAGTAAAAAATGGATGCACAAAAGACATTTGAACCAATTAAGGAAAAGAATCATTGAAGAAATAAGTAAAGAAAATGAAGAACCAATGGAGGTATTATATGATTTATTCGATATACCAACTCCACCATTGCCTGAAACAGTTGTCCAAAGAAGGACAAGCAAAAGAAAAAGAACTAGGGTGGAACATTTAAGTCCAGATCCCAAAAGAAAAAGATATTAATTCCTCCGGAATTAATCTCAAGGGGGAGGTGTTGTGTCAGAAACCTACCACCCCTCTTGAAGATGAACTTGTCTGCGTCTGTGAACAAAGACTTTAAATAGTGGCATGTCAGTTGACATGGAAAAAGACAGATAGACAGAGAAGTTCTTAGCTGAGCTAGTTATTGACTACTCAGGCGATTTCTGTACCTTTTTACCAACCTATTAAAACCCTTTTTATTGTTACGTGTTATTTGGCGTTTGTCTCTACTAACCCCAAATCAACATCATAACAGATATTTACATGTTTTATCTATACAATAACCTAGTAGAAGTGTTTTACAAAATAAATGATTGCTTTCTAGATGCATATTAAACTTATTCTAAAATAAAACAATTTAGGAATAATCTGACATAGAACAAATTCAAGATCCACCTTCTCTAGACAACACTTCCCCATTATACTAAAAGGGTGAGATTAGCAGTATACCTTGATGCCAGAAGCCTTGACTGAAAATTACAGGTAAATTTTGGTGAAAACCCATATGAAAAAAAAATTGTTATATTTTGTAATCTGTGCATACTGGAAAATGATATATAACTTTTTATTGATCAGGACAATTTTAGAAAATATACCAGAACAATTTTAGCAAAATTTTTTCCATTTGTCATAGATTTTCCTAAAATCTATGAATATGCAGAACTGGTATCCTGGAACAACTTTGGAATTCTGAACATGGGAATCACAAGACATAATGTCACACATGAATACTACAAGAATATATTGGTGCTTCAGTAATTAATTAATTGAGATTAATTCTTTCAATGAAAATGTAATGTAATATCTACTGTAATAAGTATGATGTGAGATGACCTTTTCATTCCTTCTGTGCATATAAATTCCACAGTGTCAATACCAAAAAATGAAGAAAAATAGAAATAAAGGTTCTGTGGAATCAGAGGTAAATCTAGTGTAGCTGCCAACAAAATGGTAACTGATATATCAAATGTATTTCACAACTAATAGAAGATAAAGATCTTACCGTTTTCTTTTAGACTTGGCATAATCAGATTCAGACTGCTTTGTAGGTGTAAAAGAATCGGAAAATGATGTGTTTTTATCCCTAGTAGGTGTATTCAATGTATCAGATTGGCTGTTTTCCTTGCAAGGATTCTGCACATTCTTCACAGGCGTTTTGTAGACAGTGGAAAAACTCTTTGAGGAAACACCTGATGTAATTCCCAGTAAGAGAGGAGGAGGAGAGGAGGACAAAGATAATGATGTTGTTTCTGTTGTTATATCAGAGTCTTTCAGAAGTGAATCTGTTGACTGATCATTTCTTTGGTTTGAAATGTCTTGTTGTTCCACTGGTAGTTCATCTGAAGTTGGAGTTTCATCTATGGGAGATGCAAGTGTGTTTGCATTTGGTAAAAGTTCTGTATTTGATGTTGATTTTGGTATCAAAGATAAAGATTTTGATGGGTTGGCAACCTGCACCTCTGTATTAGTTGATGGTATGGTTTCCAAAGCAGTTGTGACACGTGGCATGATTGGCTGAGAAGGACTTGTTACAAATGATAATTCTGATTGTGTTCCAACAGATTGATAAATTGGCCAAGATTTTGTTGTTTGTGGCTTGCACCCAGACTCAGAAACTTTTGATGCCAACAATACAGATACACCTAGTTGTGGTAATGCTGTTACCTCAGGTTTGACGTTGGTAGTTTGGGTGAGTCCTGAAGATGACAACTGTCTGTTTGGAATAGGGAGACATGAGGGTGGGTTTCCTGAGTCAGATTGTTTTGAAGATGTTCCTGAAGTTGTAGCAGTAGGTAGATTATCAGCTATTACAGGTGTATAACAACTGGGTGCTTGACTAGAAATGGATTCTGTGTTATGAGGAGCATTGGGTTTGTCAGCTGAAGAAAAATAGGATAAATCAGAATAAAAATCAATGTCAAATGCAGCATTAATATAAATTGATAAAACATATGCTTCAAAATGCATTTTTGACAAATGTGTGATACCAGATATAAAATTAACTCTTTCAATTGTAATGGGTAAATACCTGTTAATAATGTCAAATGTTGTTCTGTAACAATATTTAACATGGAGTACAGATGAAAAGAGTTAAAAGAAAATGATTTTAAATTTTTGTCAGAAAGAGAATTATTTTCCCAGGTTATGGGAATACATGTATGATTTTTGTTAAAAAAATTATATAATGCAATTCAATGAACAGGTGCAGGATCAGAGGCCAGAGGTTAAGGTCGGCTGTTGAAAGATGTCCAGCTTGACTATGTGCTGAGAGGTTGTCAGCCAAAATTTCCCTGAGAAAAAAATTATAATTGTAAACAAAATAAAGGCAGAAAATGATATCAGAAAGGCTGAAGGAGGAGGGGATCTTCCAAAATTGGAAATGTGAAATAGAAAACGAAAGAAAACAACTGGTTGAATTTTGGGAGATTTCGCCTGCACCACACCAATTGAAAGGGACACTCATAAATACAAGTTCCCACATGAGCCAAAGTTAGTTAGAGTTGGATTTGGAGAGATTTGGGGCCAGCCAGTTGCCGTTTCCGTTGCAGTGAGGTTGCGACTGGGAGAAAGAGATTTCTGATATAACGCTGCTTGACAACCTAATGATAAGAATTATCTGCTGAAGAAGAAAAACTCCGACGAATAAACCTTGTGCCATCCGTGAAAGTACAAACTTGAAGTTAAATCCAGTTGTCGCTAAAGAAAAACTGATGATAAACCTTGTACCGTCCGTGAAAGTACAAATCACAGTACTTGAAGATTCTTCAAAGAAGCTACCCGCAATTTTCATTCCATTGCCAATTATTAGAACAAGTTGAGAAAAGAAGAAAAAGTACAAAGAAAGAACTGTAAATATTTTTTTTGTTATTCTGATATAAACATCATATCGTTACTTATTCGGGCGTTGTCCATTTTATTTTTCAATTTTGTATGCACGCATTCAACTCCTTGGTTTAGCATGGTTAAGATACACCAGTGGAAATTCGGCTTGACCCTCTTAAGATCAAAATCACAATGTGGGTAAGAGAGGTCACAATTGCAGAGGTCAACTTAAAGACCAGCTGCTGTGTCAAATGCCATCAACAACCGACGAGTGGGCTGACGGCTTGTCCTCAGATACCAGGATCAATCCTGACCAAGTGGGCAGACTGGCATTGACCCTGAGTACTGCCATACCTGGTGACCGAAGCAGACCGAACCTGGAACAATGTCATATTTGGGGACAGTGACCAGGCCTTGGCCAGAACACCGTCATATTATTGGTCGCCGTGGGCAGGTCATGGCCTTGACTACGTCATAGTTCTGCTTGCTGCAGATTGCAAATGCATGTTACTTTTTACACTATTTATATCATGTGACTTAGTTCTTTTTTTCTCTGTTTTAAAGAATTTCAGTTATTGTGCATTTTTTATGCTGATAAATTCCTGAAAGTAGCCAAGTTGCCGTGGGATGAGTGTTTTTATTGAGACACCCTCTAAAGAGCTTCTATCTGCCTATTAGTTAAGAACATGTAAGTTTTTTTCCTTTATAATGATGTTTAACTTCTACAAGGCCTGAGGGCCACTTGGGGTAGAGGATTACAGAGTAAGAGGCAGAGATTATGCAGATATGTATGGAAGATAATGGTTAACCCTAGATTTGAACAGGTTAAGATTATAGTGATTGGAGAAGAATCATCTTAGGAGTCAGTTCCGCAAAGAAGTTGCTCAAGTGGAACTTACATCTCACCAATGGAATATGAAGGGAATGAGGGTGATTCACTACAATGTGCATGACATAGAGGGTCTTAGCCATAAAAGAACTGGTGGAACTAAGGAATGTAGTTCATCTGATCACTTTCCATGGAATTAGCAATAGAGCAGTGAGAGGTTTGTAATGTTTCATCTGTGGTTGTAGGGTGGAAAATAATTTGTCACCCACAAAGACACATAGATACTTTTGAACTGTATCAAGGTTGGAAAATGAAGACAGGGCAGCCTCCTGCCCGTATATAGCAGCAGCACTACATTTTTTGGTCTGACTTGGCTCTTGTAAAGGTAGAGGATAGCAGGAAGAGTCAGGTACTTGCTGGAGCGGTACAGGGAACTGATCATTTTTCCAGTATCTTTAGCAATGGATCATATGTACAATCCATCTACATACCAATACAACCGCAAACAACTTCCAAACAGTTTCATCTACCCAATTTCATTCACAAAACTTGGGTCAATCCATGGTATGGTTTTCAGGCACACCCAAGTGCCACATGATGGGATTGTCTCCCCTAGATGATAATATCAAGAATTCGCCTCCTTTACTAATTGAATGATAGTGAGATTCAAATGCAGACTTCATGGTTAGAACTCTAACTATTCTACCATATGGCCATTCTGTTAACAATGCAAGTTATTAATTTATGTAAATAAACCAGTTGTTTGTTACATAATACTGTATCTTAAAAAACTTACTTTGTATTTTAAAACACATTGTATTTAAAGAGTAGTGAAGGTCTCATTAATAAAAAAAAATTTGCCCAAAGTTATATCAATAAAAATACATTAATCATCTATACTAATGTTGAAGATTTGTGTATCGATGCTACAATCACACTCACATGATAAAGCCAATTAACCTACTTATTTTTTTTGTATGAATTCTCACAACTTATAGGCTATGTGAGATTGGCCTAGGAGGTCATTCAAGGCCATCAGGTGTCATCAAACAGTGTAGCACATCATTTCTAGCCAAATGAAGCAAATTACTCCCAGGTACTAATATGTGTATGATAAACAGATTAAAAAAGATCGTTATTCAAAGCAATTGTGCCTGCCATTGAAGCAATTATCCAAAATGTAATAAGCAAAATGGAGAATGTGTTCAGGTTTGCCTCAATCCTCAAGGATAATCTCCTAAGATCACTGGTTTCAACTTTATTTCTGCATGCTTTTTCCCCATCTTAGCTCTGCTGGTTGTTCAAGGAATCACTTCTCTAACAGCCTTTTCATACTGGCACCCAGTGATCAAAACCCTGATGTTCTATAATAAAATGCCCTAAAAACCTAAAGAATAATATCATTTGCTTTGTTCAGAAAACCAGAATATTTATTACTGTAATATTTATGGAATATAAAAGCAAAAATATTTTAAGGAATATTTGTTGCCATGATCCTCAACAATACTCAGATTTATGTTGTTTGTTCTAGGGCTGGATTCACAAACAACTAATGTTATGTATCCAGAAGTCTTGTGAAACTAAGGGACTATATCATTTACAAATAAAATTGTTTAAATCAAAAATGTCATTGTATATATTCTAGGTATTTATGAATAAGTTTGACAACTGATCCAATCTTCAGTAATAAAAATAAACTGCAGTAACTGATAATAAAGAAATCACTTTGGATAAGTTGATTGATTGATTTGTTTGTTTAACAGCATATCAACTCTTTATGGTCATTTAATGATGAAATTTAATTTTCTTGAGAGCTTTGAAATAATTTGTTAAGGTTATTATAAAAATATATCAGTGATAATTTTATTATAAATATGTATTGTTGGTAATTTTTTCATTTAAAAATATATTGCTGGTATTTTTATACTTTCATTGTCTTTTGTTTTTTTGTATTGGTGGTTCACTATTTTCCCCAGAGCTGAGACCTTAACAGATGTTACCACCCTGGGTCCAGATGGACCTAGAAACAATGGCAATAAAGAGATTGTTCCATGTTTCTCAAAACTTCCAATCTGCCAATCAGAGGCCTTGCTGATGAATGTAGTTTATCATCATACCTAGGACTAACTTTGGATAAGACATAAGCTCAAATCCTATGCCTTGTATGCTCATCATTCAGGGCTGAAGGCTTACAGCCATATCATGTTGCAACACCAGTTCTCATACAATCACCAAGGTTAAGAAACATCAAGTCTGGTCAGTAACTAAATGTGTCACTGCCTGTAGAATACCAGATGCTGTAAGCTTGGATGTGTGAGTGGTGTAATGAATAATAGCTCAGAATTGGAAACTGGAGAGTCAAGTTCTAATTTCACTCAGGTTCATTATATTCACTTACATACAAGTATCCTTTTGAAGGATATGAATTCACTTCTTCCCCTCACCCCAACTATGGCTATCTCATAGGGCTAGTATCAGTAAAATCATTATTATCTAAAAAAAAATTTTTTTTTTAAATCTAAAAATATTTACTGGCTTTAAATAACCTGCAAAAGGTTGATAAATCATAAAAAACAAATCAATCATGTCTGACACCTTAACCAGTTAAGCTACTACAGTTTTTATTGACAGGGCAGGGTTCATATCTTTCATCTTTCTGTTACTGTTTGGTTTCCATCTTTATTCTATACTAAATTATTGACTATCTATTAGTTGTAATAGTAATATTTTGAAAGTATCTTGAGATTCTGAGATTAAGTATTTTTATTATTCTAGTATCTTTTTGTTGTGTTTCATCATAGCACCTTTAGCTTATCTATTCTTTGGCTGTCAAAGTAAATACCACTGGATATGAGTTCAAGTCTTATCTAAGCCAATTTCTTTGTTTTGAATCTTGTGAATTTAATTGAACAGAAAAACAGATTTGTTATAATATGATAAAAAGCAATAAAAAAATGAAGATATTAGTTGAAAATAAAAAAAAATATGTGAATTTAATTTTTGGTTAAATTTGCACTTAAAAGATTTTTTCAGATATACTTTGTAGCACTTAAATAATATTTTAAAACATTCAGGGATTTCAAATAGTCATCAATTTAATTATGATAAATGTTGCTTAACTTTAATGATCACTGTGAAATCCAAAGGCACCTAAAAAGTAAAATATTTAAAGCACACAAGCACATACAAGAGCACAAAATATTGAATATGTCTTACCAGGAGCTATTTTCCCATTGCTGTTGTTGTTATTATTATTATTGTTATTATTATTATTATTGTGTATGACATTCTTTCTATTTTGATCTTTCTCAATGCTTTCTTCAAGAGTTGGTGTTGGTTCTTCAATTTCCTCAACAAAAGCTTCATCTTTAACACCATCTGGTAACTGTTTCCCTGGAATTGACGGGTCTCTCCAAAGATCCTGTTTATTCAGGTTCACATTTTGTTCAGGATGGATATCAGTACTGCCATTTTCAATGTGATTCTCTTTCAAAGGTCCATTCTGTCCCTGCTAAGAAAAAATTGATTTTTTTTTCAAATTAATCCAACAGTAGTAACTGGGATATACCTAATTTCTGTACCTCCAGCAGTATCTAAGGTCATATAATCATTTGCAAATTTTAAAGACACTTTCACTACACAAAATAGAAAGTTCAAGGTTGCTTTCCTTGAATTGTTTTGTAAAGTGGAAGAAATTTACAGGATATCATTTCTGGGCGAAAAATGTTAAGATTAACTTATGAATATCTTCTGCTGTCACAAAATAATTCTGGTGAACAAAGGGAGAAGAAAAACTTTCATTTTAAACTTGTTTTAGATCTTCTAACATTATAAAATGCAAAATTGAGTCAGTGATTTTAGACAGATAAATGTAACAATTAGACAATAACAAATTCTTTATTGAATTATTCTAATGTACTGAATTTATCGCTGTTCATAATAGATTCTCTTTCTTTATTGCATTCTGGAGCAATTGCTTTAATAGCATTAGAAGATATCATCCATTTAATTAGTTATTTTCTTATAATATGAAGCAACATAAGCACTCTCCTCCCCTAAGCAATTAAAAAAAATGTTGTGCATTTTGAAAAGAATCATTTTCTTTATTCCAACATGAATATTCAATTTGGAGACATCAGTAATGCACATCATTCTGCATAGTGTAGTAGTTCTCATCACAGAAAGTAAGACTGGTATGTTGAGTTTAAATTCTGGGCAAGGCCATTGCATTTATTTTCACACATATACTCGTCAAAAGTATGAATCTATTTCTCCCCCACATCTACTTATTAACAGCAAGGCAAATTAAGCCTAGGAGAAAGACAACTCTGAGTTCAAAACTGTTTGGGTGTGGGACTAGCACCTCTACAATGTAAAAAAGCTACTTGCTACTGAAACCATAACAGTAACACCTAGCATGATGAGGCTGTGTCCCTATGCTCCACAGGATAGTCTATAAGGTTAACATACATAATCTGAATAAGATCAGTTGAGCTGTGCATCTAGGCATGTTGGATGCCAGAAATTGTAAAATCTGAAACTTTGCATCTCAACATTTTCAGTGTTTCCACTCGGTACATAATTATAACCAAACATTTACATTTCCCTCCTTCCCTTTACATATAATTACATCAATAAGAATATTACTTTAATCTGATGAAGCTATTGTTAAAAGACGGAACACATCACATAAAATTTTTTCCCATTTTGTCATTATTTGTATATATAGAAATTTATATATCATATTCTCACAAACACACACAGCTTTCATGAAGTTCTTAAACAGATCTCACAAATAATAATCAATAAACTTACCGTTTTATTAGTTTCATGAACTTTCTTAAGGGTTTGTGCCAACTGTTTAGAAGACATAATCTTTCCCTGTTTTAGTAGCATTTCTCCAATATTCTCAGGAAGAACTTTGACATTTCTGTCTGGGAATTTACGCTGGGTTCTAATCTTGGGAATAGTAACCTTATGTGAGTTAGATTGAAACATTCTGTACTTCAGCTTCTCAATGCAGGAATCCATTTCACGCCACAAGGTATCCGTGGAAGCAACTAAGTTATAACGTTCCAGGGCTGAAAAAAAAAATATTCATTATCTTTTGTTTTAATAACTTAAATCAGAATAAAATTTAAAATGTTCAGATTTTCTTTTGTCAAATATTACAGGGGACTTACAAAAGAAACATTTGTTTAACTTCCTAACATAATCCAATATTCTTATTTCAAGAGTTGTTTGAAAAAGCATGGAGTCTAAACAACTTACAGAATAAGAAACATATTTCTATACCACTTCACTTGATCCATATAGAACTAGGACAACCCAACACACCCTATAACAGTTCATGGGCCTCTATCATAAAGGGTTGGAAACCACCCATATTCTCATATACCTGTATAGGTTTCCTATGGTACAACAGTATTCCTGACAGCGCTACTCAGTGGTAGGACTTTCTTTCAAAAAAATTGTGTATCTCACAGAAGAATTAAATTTCATGGTAATTCTTTTCTCCAGAAACTGGAAAATTACAGATGTGAGAGAAAACTCCAGAGAAGTCCTAACACTGTTGTCAAACTCAACTACAGGTTTATTATGATGATATATGTATATGGATGAGTATGTAAAATTAGTTAGCTTGTTGGTATTACTCTCTACTCAACAGAAGGGCAACGTGGGGCAGTGATATTATTTCGATATGATATTTCAAGTAGTAGTCCTAAGTAGGAATGAAAGAAGTTCTCTCTCTTTTCTGTAGGTCTAGTTGCTAAAAGCTCTCTCTTAGCAGCAATGGCTTGGAATTTAACAAATGGCCAGAACAGAACTACACAAAGCATTTTGGCTTTCTATTTTTATTAAGAATCCACCAAAACAGACAACAATCATCTACCTAATGACACAACCTAGACCAGACTAGAATATCAGTCATCACTCTAGCAATGCAATAACATAATTTTTACAGAATGGGATTAACCCAGATGAGATTTTTCAAAACAATCCCAGCTAGATAAATTTTGAGAATGCACAAACCTGTTATCAATTTGTCTCTGCAGGTATGTAAACCTGTGAAAAAGTTTTACTGCTTTTTTTGATTAAGTTGTCCCAGGTTCCAATACTCTGGGGGCTCTCATTCATCTCATTTTATAAATTTAAAATCCATATTTTTACTTGTTGTTCTCAATATATCAAAGGCCACTCATCCAAGTTTTCCTGTCTCCCATTCTCAACTAAATCCTATCTCAAATCACATAAACTAATATCAATCCAGTGAATTCATATTTCTATAGAAATCATTTAAAACACTTTCTATATTAAACTTGTTTTTTGTAGTAAATCCTTTAAAACACTTTAGTAAACATGTTACTATAGTAAATATTTTAAAATACCTTTCAATATAAAACATAATCCTTTTCTGTATCAAATATTTTCTAATGACTATCAATCCTTACCTTGTGTCTTCATGAAACCAAAGTTATCTAGTATCTCAATCAAGCTGAGCCCCAAGATATTTGTTGGGTATTCTAGACCCATACTCTTTAATTTCCTGAATTCTGCAAGGCAATCACATTCAATCAGGAAACGTCTTGAAGTCTGGTCAAAGCCCTGTGATATTAAATAGCCTGAAAATTAAAATGAAATTCATGATATGCCATTTTAGTGAAACTGTCAAAAAAAAAAAAAAAAAAATAATAAAAAATTTTGTTTTTTTTTCTTTACCTGCTTATAACTGAAATAATTATGTATTTTTCACTGGTACCAGAGGCCAGGGGTTTTAATGCTGATTTTATAAACAGGTAAAATATCCCTACTTTTAAGATGTGTTATCCCAATTTCCTTTGGTGCCAAATTAAGCTTATTAAATAGCAAGACTAAATTCTATGGACTGTCTCATGGCTGAAATAATAATACTGTGAATTCAGATATAATGTAATGGGCCAATGATCACATTACAATGCTGTTTTAATGCATATATATATATATATATATATATATATATATATATATATATGTGTGTGTGTGTGTGTGTGTGATAAAAAATATATTTTTATGGCATGCTATATTTATGGGCAAAAGTGCTCAACATCAAGGATAGGGCATATGTAAATATAAAGGTGGACACTGAGGTCAAAACCAAGAGGTGACAGTCTGTTTCATGCTTGAATGCAATCTTCAGAACATGTGTGTTGTGTTTTCACTTGACTATTTATATATGTTCATCAACGTTACATTATGGATAGTAAGGTATTATTAACCATTAAGATAAGTGAATAGACCTTGTTCCCCACAATACACCATTCAAGTTTTATATATAAATTTATTATTATAAACATTTAGTGGGTACATGTGTTTGAGTAGACAACCCTTTATTTTTGCTTAAAAGCACTAAAATAATGTTGGACTTTTAAAAAAGAACATCATTCAATATATATATATATATATATATATATATATATATATATATATATATATATATATATCACACACTGATATTAATAAAATAATGCATCTCAATTCAGCAACTAAAGGTTGTGTTGTGCATGAAATACCGAGGCATGCTACTAGTGAGAAAAATAAATAAATATATATATATATATATATATATATATATATATATATATATAGAGGATTGATTCTCTTGTCAAGGGTGACATGAAAATTCAGTAAATTATAAGTTTTTACTAAAAATCCTGCACAAGTGAATTGTTTAAAATGGTTAATTGCCTATGCTCTACAATGCACACTGTCTCCATCATATTTCCTGTACTGGTGTATTGTGGTGCCACATGTCAGATGATGCTACAATCACAGGCTTTTTGAATAGCAGTTTTTCATGTCCTAGCTTCATGTTGGACATTAATTTCTATAAGTAGGTCATCTAACTTTCACCAACCCACTTCAGACTGGTGGTTAATCAAGGCTATAAGACAAAGTCTGTCCTGCTATTTACCTATAGATGGTTTATGGAGTTATTTTTTCTGATTTCTTTTTGAATTTGTAGGTCTGATGAATTAGATCGTAATTGCAATTCCAATGTAATAAATTATAACCATGGAATATTTTTATTATATTCTTACTCTGTCCTGGACATTGAGTTCTACCTGGATTCTATCCTCTTGAATTTATATATATATATATATATATATATATATATATATATATATATATATATATATATGTATGTGTGTGTATATATATATATATATATATATATATATATGTGTGTGTGCATGTGTGTGTATATTAACCACTTTAATATATATATATATATATATATATATATATATATAAATAAAAGGACATTTCAACATCTTAGTTCATCTTTACATTTGGTGGGAAGCATATGTACCATACCTGTGGTTATTTAATACTACTGATTTCAGTTAAATGATATTCATCAACTGACAGTAAATATTTAGCATATAGCAGCAACAAATGTCAAAATAAAATGACATCTCAAAAACAATATTATTGCAGAATTTTTAAGCCTTAAGAATTTCTGACATTAATTTGCAAAAGCTTAATAATCAGACTGGCTTCTCTAGCCTTATTTGGCAACCAGTCTAACAGAATGATAACTCCCCAAACAGTGGAGAAGGCAATGGGAAACTACTCTACTGTTCCCAAGAACACTCTTATGTAGTTTACTACACAGTTTAAGTAAAGGAACCTATGGAGGATTAAAACCTGAAGGAACATGGTACTTAGAGGGAAAAGGAAATAAACGGAATGGTGAATAAAGTTTTTTTCTGCTTTCATAATTAAATTTTTAATAATAAATTAAGAGTGATTTTCCAAAAAAAAAAAGAAAAAAGCAAGTTATGTGCTTGGTTCAATAGTTCTGAATTGCTAATTTAAAACTGGAAAATGTTCAAATAAAAAAAAATTACACAAGTTTTAAAAACATTTATCAGTGAGTATATACATCAATTTTGCTTTTTAATCGGTGGGGTTTCAAGCGGAAAACACTTAGTGTATCTTACTTAGTGGAAATATCAAATAAACAAAGCCGCATTTTACTTACCTAATACCAATCTGGCCACTTCTGACGGTAAAAAAAACGGTTTTGTATTCATATTGCTTTAACAATAATTATCACATCGCCACACATCTTTTACTGATTATTTTAAAAAATGTATCCTTTATTTCCTTGACGGTTTTGAATCAATATCTCCGCAAGACAAGGCCATTCCTTTCAAGGGAAAAAAAAGAAAGTAATAACAAATAAAATTAAATTACGATTTAAAAATATAAATAAAAAATTCTTAAATCAATGCAAGTTTTTGGGTTTTTGTTTCTTTTTCTTCAGAACTTGCAAAAAAAAAAAAAACTCGATATTTGTTTACTCAGAAAAAATGAAAACTTTTAATATGTGATTTTGATTTAAAGGAATTTGTTTACTTTTAAGTTTTGATTGAATGTAAAGTTGTCAAGATGAAGTCTAAATGACTGACAGAGGAGATAAATTTCCACTGGAACGAAAATAAAACATTTTTGTCCTCATAAGATCCGATCTTTTCTATCTAATCACCATTGCTTCTTTCCCTTTAAAATTAATTCACGTTTTTTAAATCCATAAAATTGTAATGTAATAATCAAACTTTATTTTCGGAAAGGCTTGTCCCTCACCCCCCAAAAAAAGCATCAGCTGGTAAGTTTTCAACTTTAAACAAAAACTAACAAAAACCATATATAACGACAAGACAGTTGTTGTTAGGTAATAAAATACGCATCAATTTAGAACTCAAATGTTAGTGTACTGACGTTTGTAAAAGTGGTATAAAGTCAGTTCTTTAAGATGAAAATGTTTGTTTCGATTAGAAGCAAACAAAATGTTTTTAAAAAAAACAGTACAGAAAATAAATTATGGAATCATTTTTTAAATTGTTTTCTTTGCCTTTTTCACTGCAGCTACTCACCACATGAAGATGTCTCATACACATCAAACCTTGCCGGGTTTAATCAATATAAAAATAAGGTATAGAATCCCAATCATTTATTACAACAAAAAAGCGAGGGAATTTTTCTGTAGTGTAGATGTATTCACAAAATATAACGTTTTCTCCCAATGTGATAGATTGAACACCGCATAACAAATAACGGTGTCAGCTTTGATAGTCACTTCAAGCGCCAAAATTCAGGGGCAGATAACTCCACACAGCTGGATGATAAAATGTGGCAATAGGCTACATTAATGATCTGCGAGATGACGAGACAACCATTACCTAGCAACTTATCTTTTTATTTGTAGCCGCTACAAATAAAAAAAGATAAGTTGCTTGATAATGGTTGTCTCGTCATCTCGCAGATCATTAATAGTGAGTTTTATTTTCAATGGCTGCTCTGTATTTATGATCACGTGCTAAAATTAAGCTACAGTTGAGTAAAAAAATGACTGTTCGCCGTAAAAGTAGGTGAAGTTTGGTTATTTACGAGAGTAAACTAAAAAAAAACAAGCAAAAAAGATGCATCACAAGGTCAAAGTTTACAAGGCTGATGAAAAGTTCTCGGCTCAATCCACTTCCTAAAAATCTGAATACTTTCTAATTCCCCTCTTGGTCAGGAACTCGCTACTACTCCCTTGTACAGACTTTAATTTTTTAGTTTGGTCAATAATACCCTACGACTGGAGACATCGACGTGACAAGTAAATGCTGTCAGAGTCAGTAAAGTTGTTTTTTAGTGTTATGTACTTATTGGAGTGTGGAATGCTTTATTTTCTCATTAAAATATACTTTGGACAACTTAAAACATAATTGCCAACATTCCTATCGTACTACATTACGTCATGAAACCGCCACATGCTGTGAAGAGTCAACATTAGGTCTACGTTTTTATCCTCATTTGGTTGAATGCATAACCTCTTCAACGAAACCCACTGCTGTTTAGTTTTTGATACTATGTTACACCACGAATTAAAATAAATTAGTAATTATACTGCTTGAAATTAATTTTATTCAAAACAAGAAAATGCAATTGCCACTGTAACAGTGTACTGTAACTGAATGGGAGAGTTATGAAGTCTGTTCAGTGTTCATAAATGATTGTTATCACCAAGGATGAAATCTCCTCCTTCACAACGTATAAGAAAGTTATTGCAAATGGGTGACTGTGGAATATAGCAATCTTCTACCAATTTGGGTTAAAAAATCTTATGGAATCCTCCACATTTGCCTGTCACCCCCTGCGGGAAGATGCACTCTTCGCCAAATAAACCTTTTTAACCAATCGTCACTTTACTTTTGCAAACTCAATCCCCCATTGGTTAAAAGGACACTAAAATGTAGCAAAGTTGAGACAAATCTTTTTTCCCACGCAGGTCTCTAGAGACTATTTGGAAACTCGAAAATCTATAAAAAGAATCGCTCGACTTAATTCAAGTTAGTCAGACACTGAGTTTGTACAACCCGAGCCGAGTGCTCCTTCTACCGCGAATGTCGTCGTGCTCTGAAACTCTTCTTACGGGCTTCGGATGGCCTCTCCAACGCCCAGGCGTTGTCTCGTAAGGCATTGTATCAACTGTTAGTTAGGGGGGCCGTTCAAGATGATCTGATTGGCGAGCTCGGTCTTACGAAACAGGAGGCTCGCTCGATATGGCCTTGGGCGCCTGGGTTGTAATGCCTCAATAATGATGAGGCATCACTCACCTGGCTGGTGATGCTTGGGGCACTCTGGGTCGCCAAGAGACTTTGTTCAGCAGGCTTGGAGAAATATCCAAACTGTCGTCGCTGTACGGGGGAAGTCGAGACCATTGGTCACGCCTTTTTTCACTGCAAGACGGTAGTCCCGTTGTGCAAGTTTGTTGAAGGCCTCATGGTTCGCATGCTGCAGGGAAAGTTTTTTGTCCTTGAAGCCAGTTCTGTTTGTAGCAATGTGGTGCCGCAGATGACGAAGGCTGAACACTATGTGTTCTGTTGCTTACTAGGGGTTATGAGAGTCGTGATTTGGACGACGCGTCAGTAGGAATTCTATGATGGCGAGAAGTTCACCTCTTCCCAACTGATCTTGTACTTTAGGCATCAGCTTAAAGTCAATATTAGGACGGGAAGGCGGCGGCTCTCCTCATCAGAATTTGGCAAAAGGTGGGTGAATCTTGCGCGCTCGTGTCGAGTAAAAGGGACTGACTTGGAGTGGCATTTTGATGCCGGTTAGGCATAAGGACATTGTTTTCCTGGGTTGAACTCATCCCAAGAGTAGGCTAGTTTAGGTTTTTTATAGTTGATTTTTTAGTTTTTCTTTCCTTTTTCGGTAAACTTAGCTAGGGTATGTTTGCTCATCGGCCCCTTTTATTTCTGTCCCCACTTTTCCTTTAGTTTAGCTCCCCATCCCCTCCCTCGTTTAGGTGGTCAGTGATGTCAGTTCTCGGGTGGATGTGGGGCGCCTTTCGTTTCGCATGTGTGTTTTTCGTATTTATTGTTGTGTATGAATGAGTGTGTGCCTGTGTGAATGCTTTAGAGGAATGAATGTTTCCTTTATTTTCCTAGTCCCGCATCGATTTCGTCCGGTTAACTGATATTTCTGCCACATTATAGTTTGTGGGGGGGTTTATTACTAACTCTTTTTTGTTTAGTTTCTTGTAAATATTTTATATTTCATATTGTATATACTCATTGGGGATCTTTTAAAAATTGTTGTTTCTTATGTCCCTCCCCCCCACAGACAATATTTGTACATAAGGGGACTATTTAGGATTTTCATTGAGAAAAAGAGGTATTTTGGTAGATGTATGAAAGGTATGGATAAATGTGTTGTTTTGGTGATAGGAATATTGTTTTGTATCATAGGGTCAGTGGTTGTGGCTAGGTAAGTTTTATATTAAGACAAGTGATGACCGTCCTTTCCCCCACCCCCCTTTTTGGCCTTGTGCCACATTTGTTGTATTTTACAATAATAAATATTGTCAGACACTGAGTTTCGAGAGATACCAGCAGACCCCATGCGTGCCAACACACTGACTCAATAACCACTACCAACCTCTCAAAAACTCAACACAACTCGTACAACTATTGCCGCGTGAAGAAACTTAACTTACAATTTACTAAAAAGTGACATTATCACTACAAAACAGTAATTGTACATTCAATCAACTTTAACCTATTAGTTAAAGGCGAACAATTCTTCATAACTTAAATCAACACGAGCAGCTGTCACACACATACACACTATCACTTAAACTTACACAACTGACAATTTTACTTACAGATATCAAACTATTTTAATTCCACAAACTTAAACTATCAACCCTTACTCACTAAATTTCTGCATGGACAATCTTTGTAACCTTATCTCACTTGCCACATTTAACAAGCAACTTATTATCACTGTGTATGTCATATATATATATAAATTCGCGTTATTGTTGAAATCTCTATGATGTTGTTTTCAGTAATTTCTTGAAGTTGAATTGTCTATTTTTGTTTGATTTAATTGTTGTGGATAAATGCATTATGATCACGCACATTCTTGGCCTTCACAAAAAATCACCTTCTGATACATCTTCTTACTCAGCATAGATTCCGCAACAATCTCACTGGTTTCAGTTGAAATTCCTTGAATTATTTCTTATAAAGCTGCAGTGACAGTATAACGATTGTGAGAATCCCCATTTGGAACATGCAGAGAGAACTTGAATAAGAAAAAATATCTTCAAATATGCGCAAGAAGGTAAATATTTAGTGTCGTTATGTACAGTTGTCAGACTACTTCTTTTGAAAGTCTAGTGCTACTAAATTTTGAATTTTACAGCTTATTTGGGGGTGCTACTAAAATCAGATGAGCTACTAATGAAAAAAATCAATCCACAATTTAGTCATGCCGGGCTTTCAAAAGAAACCCAGTTTGGCAACCATGGTTACATGTAAATTAAGTAAATTATCTTTATTTAAAAAAATTATGTAAATTAGTTTGCCAAACCAGTTGTTTTGTATTTATCATTATATAGCATTAAGAATGTTTAGTTTTTAACTAAGTTGATTTAAAAGAAGGTTTTTGTCTTGCCATATCAGTAAACGTTTTTAATTTCTCAAAATTGGTGTATTTTTGCTTGTTGATTTTAATGGCAAATATAGAAGAATATAAGTAAAATTTTCAGCATATCATACTTTCTTTTATTTTAAGAAAGTTAAAAATTTGATTCAAATATAAAATAGATGTGTGAAGTTCATATAGAAGGTATTGTGAATGATTATGTGTCAAAAAAAGTGGTCTGTGAAGTTTCATGAGGATGAGGACTGTTTGAGAATGATGAGCAATCAAATCAATACATCACCATCTGTGGCGTTCGGGGCGGGCTGTACGTCTGATGGAGTATATTATTTTTGTTGCAACAAAAAGCAGCGATAAGGAAAAAGAAACAACTTTTTGTTTTTATTTAGCAAATAAACCTAAAATTAGATATTAAAAATAAATAAAATAGTTTTTAATTTTAGTTTTAAAATGTCTATATTTGACTGCTGCTACCTACTTGAATCTAACGTTTTGTCATACCTATGTGAGAAGTCCAAGACTTTGGCATCAGTTCTTCATTTTAATTGTTCATGTATGCGAACTGTTAGTGAAAAGAAAGTTCAAAAGATATAAAAGGTGATAGCGGAGATAGAATGCCATAAAATCAAAGACTACTTAAAAAACAAATCTTGGTTATTATTGAAACTGTAGTGGATCTAAGAAGGATGCATGAATATTTAAGATTGTGCTGCAAATAAAATATGCAATATCCACAAACTTAAATTATAAGAAATGGCCAAATGGTAACAATATTGAATCATGACAAAAAAATACATGTTTCAAACAACAGATTAAATTTTATATACACAATTTACAATTTCTTTGTTTGTGCAAAAAAAGTATAGAGAAAAAGTTCTTTGTTGTTTTGCAAATGTTCAACGTCTAAAAAGTTGTCTTCCTTTGATTGAAAGGCTGAATTTAACTTAGACAA